AATCCTCCGTATTTACTTTATTATATTACTTCTTTACTATATTACTTCTTTTACTATACTTTCTTCAAATATAACCTATACTTACCGTTTATTTTTAATTCTTATACTAAGCCTTAATTACTCTATTAGTTGTAAACTTAATTTATAAATAATTTAGGATTTATAGCCCTATAAATATAATTTTCGGTTAAGCTTTATTTATTTGTTAAGTATAGGCTTCGTTATAAATAAGTTAAGTAAAAACGAACGGTATTATTAATGTAATATTATTAATATATTATCTTTAGTAAAAAAAGAAAGTAGCTGGGTAAATAACCTAACGTAATTAACGATAAGTACGTAATAATTACGCGCGAAATATAATATTCCTAACTTATATATTATATTAAATTCTACTAATTAACCGAAGCTTCGATTATTTTAACTATAATACGGCCGCTATTATTGGTATAGCCTGTAGAAAACGCCGACGAGAACGCCGGATACAGTAAAGAATCCGGATAATTACTATAGAAGAAGAAACGTAGTACGGAAAAAGTAATAGAATAAGATGAAGCGGTAGTACGGTTGACGATAGAATATTGAAAATTCTCCCTATTTATACTTCCTAAAGTATATACTTTTTTATAAGCTCGATTCGTAATACCTTATTTTATAATTTATATTAATTCGTCGAATATAAATAGAAATATTTACTTTTATTATTAAATAATTAAGTTCTCCTTTTTATACTTACGTATTAAAACCCTCTATTATCCGGTATTGTATTTTATATTAAATACGTTTAGTTAGTTCGCGAAGACTATTTATTTATTCCTATTTAACTATTCAAGTAATAATTTATTATAAGTCCTTCTATATTCGCCGTTTTAAAAGTTTCGACCCTTAAATTTTAGGCGGCCGTTCTTACTACTCTACTTCCTAATTAGAAAAATCCTACTAAAAATATTCACCAGTCGGAATATTTATAATTATATTTTAAACTAGGCATTCTTAATTTATTATCGCCCGATTATTAGTAATACAAAAGAAAATTTAACCCCCCAACATTATATTTCTAATTATATTTTAAAGAATATTAAATAAATTAAATTATTAAATGCATATTTATTATTTTTACCAACTGATTAATAACCGTTCGGATATTATATTTAAATCTACGTTAGCCTTACCGTACTATATAGTTCGAAGTCGATATTAATTATAATTTTAAATAGCGTAAAAATATAAAAGAATTCGATAATTTATTAAAATTATATTCGTCGCAATATATTATCGTTTAATTATTTTAAAACCTTTTTTCTTATATAATTATTATTAATTAGGGAATTAATTATCGCGTAAAAATCTATTGGATTTAATAAAAAAACTTTTAATTAATGTCGAAAAAAGCGGTTTAAGGGAAATAGAATTGCAATAGGGATTAGATAATAAGGATAACGATAACGAGAGAGCTTATTTTAAATTAGATTGCTTAATGGAATTATATAAAGGATAATTTCTATAGTTTAATAGTATATATTAATTTCGATATATAATTACCCTTTATTTATTAAACGTATATTAATTATAATTATAGTAGGTCTAAACGGCCAACTTATAAATAATAATTCAACCTAATTTAATAACTTAATATTAGAATTTGAATTAATTAATTATAGTATTTATTATATTATTAAATAATTCGTAATATAAGTAACTATTAATTATACTGATATATTAATGTAAATATAGGTTTTCGAAAGCTTTTTTATTAATATATTCTAATAAGTACAGAAAATAATAATAAAACCGTCCGGGATAGAACTATTTTAAAAAAACGGCGGGATGATAGAATTATAAATATAGTTAAAGATTTAAAAATAATTATCCGAAAAGGTTTTTACGAATTTAATAAAAGGTTAATAAATATTTAAGGGACGATTAAAAATAAATATAGTAAATTATTAAATATTATAAAAAAAGTAACGGACGTATTAAGTAAAAATATGTGAAACTTTCTACAATTAGAGTTAGGTTAGAAATTTATCCGATAAAAGATAAATAATTTAATAATAGGGTTCGAATAATTATCGGTATTTAATTATAATACTAAATAAATGCCTTTTTAATTAAATTATATTCGATTTTAGCTATAGAACTCTATACTACATAATTATTCGTTTTTATTTAGCTTTAAAATTAAGATTAGGACGCAAAAAAGGAATCTATTAGCGCCTTATCCTATTTTTATAAATAATAATTAAATCCCGTCTTTATTATATTACGGTTTAGCTGATTTATTAGTAAATTCGCTCGATATTCGAATTTAATACCAAACTTTGTTTATATTTATTTGTATATTGTAAAATAGTAATTGGCTCTTATATTCCTACCCGTCGGTTAATTGTTATACGTTAATAATGAATACTTTATATTAAATATTTTTCTTATTTCATATATATAAATAGAGGTTAGGTATTAAACATTTCTATAGAGGGAATTATATTAAGTTTGAAATTTACGTATTAGGACTTTCTCTATAAATAAATATTTACTAGTAAGCATTTTACTACTTACTATTTTAATATATAGTATTTTAATATATTTAAATTTATAATATATTTTATAATCTTCTTTTTAAATATAAGAAAAATAATATATAATTCGAATTAATAGCCTTTCAAAAATATAATCCGTATAAATACTAATTATATTATAATATTAAATTTTATAATACGATCGTTAACCGGGTCTATATAAAGTTTAAATAATATCATTTTAAAAATTTAGGGCCAGTATAAGTAATTAAACGAATGAAATTAGATTTATCCTAATTTTATTTAAAATTGATTTTTACTATAAATTTTATCCGATATTTTACCTTTCTTAGTAGACACGTATAATATAATATAAATAACATAATTACGTATTCGTATTTACTAGTTTAGTAAGAGGAATAATTATTACGTTAATTAGAATTTTTTCTTTTTAAATTTCTTTTCCTTAATTCTTTTTCGATTATTTAAATATTTAGTAATTTACCCTTATTTACCCTCTGCCGCTCTTCCGAAATCTATCGAAATTAATTAAAAATTTATTAACGATTTATTTTCTATAATAATATTCGTTTATTACAAATTTACAACTTCTAATATATATGAAGAATATTTAAATAGTAATTATAAACTTATTAAACTTAAAAATAAGGGTAAACGTTAAGCCGTAATACCCCCTTTAGAAATTAATAAATATATAAATATTAAAACCAATCGTTAATTTATCCCTAATTTATCCCTAATTTATCTCTACTAATTACTTTATAGGGCGTATATATAATTGCCCCTAGTAAGATCTTTTACCGTTGGAAAGAACTTGAGCCGGATTGTAATAGCGCGGATATTTAATATAGTTTCGATATAAATAATATTTGAAAGTTATCGATATTAATTTAATAATTAATTTTTAACCTATTTAAATTATATTTACTATTTATAATAATCTTATTAAATATTTAAAGGGTATCTATAATATCCCTAAAAAACGTTTACTCAACGTTTTAATTAGAAGTATTAAGGTTAAAGTTTATATAATTACTATTAATATAAAATTTATCCTTAATTAATCTTTAGATAATTTAGAATTAATTATAAATAAATTTAAAATAGTATAAAGATTTTATGGTTTTTATAACCTCCGGTTAAGCTATAACCGTCCCTATCCTTAATAGGATTTTATAGCCGGTTATTCCTAAGAAATATAAGGTAATAATTATCGACGAAAATTCGGACTTATTGGACTTACTGTTAATTAAGGAGGAGGAGTAGTAGGAAATATAGGAGGAGGAGTAGTAAGAGGTATAAGAGGAGGAGTAGTAGAAAGTATAAGAAGAAGAGTAAGAGGAAAAGTAGGAGAAAGAGTAGGTGGAGGAGTAGGAGGAAGAATAAGAGGAGGAATAATAAGAAGTATAGGAAAAAAAGAACGAGGAAGAGTAGGAGGAGGAGTAAGAGGAAGTATAGGAAGAGGAATAGTAAAAAATATAGGAGGAGGAGTAGTAGGAGGTGTAAAAAAAAGGGAATGAGGAGGAGGCGGATACGAAGGAAGACGGTTTTATAGAAGTCCACTTTTAGAAGAACGGTAATTTAAATATTTTAGATCTATTTTTAATAAATTATTAATTTATTCCTAATATATCCTTTAATTATTTTCATTAATTTAAATAATATTTAAATTAATACCTAGTTAATAAAGAAAATATATAAAAAGCGCAATAGTATTACTTTCTCTATTATATTTATTTGCGTAGTATATAAAGAATTTAAATGTATTTGTAAATTTCACTTTAAATATATCTTTAATAAATCCTTTATTAATTATTAATTTATTATAAGTCTTCTTCCCTACCATCCTGAATAAGGCAGTAAAGGCCGGAGTTACGCTATTTAGTACGAATTCCGCCGCTATCCGAATAAATTTATAGAATTTATTCCTTTTTTATCTACAATTTAAAATATATCCCAAATATATTATAAATTTATTATCGGACTTTATATTTCTCTACGGAGGAACTTTGGGCGAGCGAGTAAGGTTATTTCTCTACGGGGGGACTTTTACATATACGACCCGGATGAGTCTATAAAGCCTAATTTCCTTGCCTACAGCTTAAAATACATTCTAAATATATTATAAATATATTATCGGACTTTATTCGAACTACTATTATTAATTTGATATGTTGAACTAATTCCGTACGAATATATATTATAATAATTGTGTTAATCTTTTTCTTTTGTAGGTCGGACCAACTTTGTATATGAATACACGGACCATAAGGTCAGGAAGCTTTAAGTATAGGGTCGTGTCATCTGACCACTTCCGTGAACACCACTCGCGATGTTGACCCGCCGTCAGATCCTACTTGACCAACTTGAAGGAGTAAAGTGCTTGCTCCAAGTACCACGCCAACGAACTTTCCAGGGCTGGATTGTATAGCGGGTACGATGCCGTAAAAATTGAAACGAAGGCAAGGTTTCATTGGAGCGACATCAAGGGGATCATCCGATCACATCACCACGGGCATGCCAGATTCTAGGCCTGCGCGATCTCTCTCTCCCCATTTCTCACCACCATTTTTTGCCTGTCAGTCAGTCAGTGAAAGTGGGACGGACCGTAACGGAGCTCTGCCGCAAACAGACTTGACCTCGCTTCTGCGCCTTAAGACCGAACCCAAGAGGCGCGTCTTTGATCGATTCTTATCAGGGCACGGGACGGGAAGTGGGCAAGACCGGCACCGGCATCTGTAAACACACCATGGGAGAATAGGACGACGCTATTATGCAATAGGCGACGACATGGGTGGTAACGGCGTCAACCGACGTGCCACCGGGACCGCTGGTCGGGGTACTGCGGCTCCCGTTGCTGCAACTGATCATTCGGCTCAACCCGCACCCGCACCCACAAGCGGCTCTTCTTCCCCGTCCAGTACGGTAGCGCCGATGATTCCTCTGAATCAGAATCACAGTGGCATCCCACCACCAGCAGCAGCTTCCAGTCCAGGTCCAGGTCCAGGTTCAGGTCCAGTACGAAGACGGAAGAAGAGAGCCCAAGTCTCCAAAGCCTGTCAGCGATGCAGGAGACTGCAAAAGGGGTGTAGCGAGTCGCGGCCCTGTCAGAGGTGTATCGGTGTTGGACTGGAGGAACAATGTCTCCGGAGCGAGATGGTGATTGAGTGTCATCAGAGTGTTGTACTGCCCCGGTCTCATGCCCATCCCGGACTGGTACCAGCTACAGCCACAGCTTCAGCAGGGGCAACAACAGCAACAGCAACATGGTCCTTCACCCAACTCCCAGCCAGTCCCGAGAGTCTGGTTAACTACCCTCTAGCCGGCGGTGCAGGCGCAGCATCAGCCAGCTCTCCCCTCCAGGGCCAGGCCAGTCAACACCATCAACAAATCAACCCCCTCCCCAAGCCAGTACTCGACCACTGCATCCCCCGTTTCTTCTCCCGCCTCTACCCCACCATCCCGATCCTCACCCCTTCCTACATCGACCACCTCCTCTTACTCTCCTCCACCACCACCACCTCCACCTCCTCCCTCTCCTCCCTCTCCTCCTCCTCCGCCGCCACCTCCACCGCGGAAGCCCAAACCCTCCTAACCACCCTCTCCGCCCTCGTCCTCCTCCAAATCGAGCACCCCACCACTCACCTCTTCACCTCCATCAACATCCCTTACTCCAACTCCGTTTATGGACGTTTACTCTTTGACCAAGCACAAACCAGCCACCATCGGGCTTTGGCTTTGGGTACCACACAAACACAAAAAAGGTTTTCCCCGACGCTGGAGAGGGTGTTGATTACTTTTTTTTGTATGCGTGTCATGCGGTGTTGTTTCATCATAGCCAGGCGTTTTTTTGGTTGAGGGAGGCGAGCACGTTGTGGGTTGTTTTGAGGGTTGATGATTCTCAGTCTCCCGACGGGGGGGGCAGAAGGGGAAGGGGGGATGGTAGATATCATAGCAAGGGTGCGAAAGACGTTAGCAGACCGATTGCTTTGGGTTTTGCTAGTGAGCGAAAGGTCGCATGCCATCCGCTACCGACGGCCGATAACGCTGCAGATTACGCCCAGCACCCCATCGCTGGATTTCTGTGCCGATACGGAGTTTGCGGGCTTAGCGAGCTTGGTGGCGCTGTTCAGGCCGTTGGATACGGGGTTTATGGCGTTGTTGAATCAAGAAGTGACGAGCGCGTTTAGGGGTCCGGCGATGGTAGCGGGGCCGTTGGATGTGGTGGAGAAGTCGATTGCGGAGGCGGTGCCTGGTCCTAGTCCCGGTCTGGGTCCGGGTTTGGGTTCGGGTTTAGGTCCGGGTTCGGGGCCGGGTTCGGGGACGGTTTCCCTCCCGTCAATGTCGCCGGATGGACGCCTGGTAAATTCTACTTGTGCCTCTTCTCGTCCTCCTCCTCCTCCTCCTCCTCCTCCTCCACCTCCTCCTCCACCTCCTCCTCTAACAACAACAACACAACCCCCCTCCCTCCTTCCCACCGGGGCCACCGGCCACCTCCACACAACCCAACTCGCCAACCTAAAAATCACCCAACTCTGGCTGCGCGTGATCCTCTGGCAGATCCGGTTGCGCATCGGGTTATTGATTCCTCCTCCTCCTCCCCCTCCTCCTCACTCATCTCCAGCTCCAGCTCCACCATCTGCCCCAAATGGTACAGTCAAGGAATCATCCCTAACCTACCACCACCCCCTCTCCATCGCCCGCTCACTCGTCCAAGTAACCAAATCGCTTCCCCTCGAAAGCATCCGCGTGCACGGAGTGGGGTTAACAGAGAAGGTGTTTGACGTCGCTTGTGCGATGGTTGATGTGCTTGCGAAGGTACCTTTGGAGGATCGGAGGAGGTTTTCTGGGACTGGGCCGGCGGGGTCGTTGCTGACGATGAGGGAGAGGGAAAGGGAAAGGCAGGAGGAAAGGGAAAGGGAAAGGCACCTCCAGGAAGAAGAGGAAAGGGAAGATTTGGAGTGGATTAGAGGGTTGATTCATCGGTTACCCGGGGGTGAGGCGATTTATGATGAGTTGTTGGGGAAACATATTGCGGCTGCGGGTGTGTTGCCGGGGTTGGGGTTGAGGGGGTTTGAAGATGATTGATGATGTGCTGGCATGATACCTGTCGTTTGGCTTACCGGGAAGGCAATGGGATTTGGATTCTGGAGTCTGTCAATTGCATTTCGGAAAGATGCGTGAACAAAAATGGAAGTTGATGTCTGCATGTATCCAAAGAGAGACGGATGAATGACGTCGATGGTGAGCTTGATACACGAGAAACGCATACCGACGAATAAACTCAAAGGTAAAAAAGAAAATGAAGAAAGAACTGGTGAAGCGAGAGAGAAAAGAAAGAACGTGATAACATGAAAAAAAGTGCAAAAAGAACCGCCCACGGCGAGACTCGAACTCGCAACATTCAGATGGCTTAGAAGGCCTTTTTACAGGCTTCTTAAAAGTCTGACGCGCTAACCAATTGCGCCACGCGGGCTTTTTTGTGTGATTGGCGGTGCAGAATGTCCACTTATAAGCTTGGAATGACCTTGTGTCTTTCATCAAACATTCATGCGAACCCAAAACACAACGAGCACCATCACCAACAAACAAACAAGCTGCTCCTTGCCAGCTGCCAAGTCGTTGTCAGCGGGCGGAACAAACAAAAAATATCACCAACCGGTTGTAACCCCCGTATGTTGAACAAAGGAAAATATCCAGCTTTTATTGCATTCCCATTCCCACATCCACAACCACACTCTTCTCCTGGGGTATATGTTCCTAGTACCTTACTCTGACTGATAATGCACTTCGTTCCATTCCATCCATTCTCTCGAATCCAGCCTGGCCGGTCCCTTTCACGGCCCTCCACTTCTTTTCTTCCAATCCCATGCCAAACAATGCTTGCTTAACCCAAGTTAAACTCACTAGCCATATTCCCCATCATCATCTTCATCTTCTCCCTCATCCTCCTCCCCGCATCCTCATCCGCTGCACCAAAGTCCCTCTCATCATCATCATCCTTCTTCGGCCTCCTGGTGGTGGTACCATCACCCACAGACTTGCTCGTCTTATTCGTCTTATCACCCGGCTGCACCGGCCTGTGCGTCCGTCTCGACACACCACCGCCAATTCCACCAGGCGCCTCACGCAAACCGAACGCCTTGGCCATGTGACCGAGGTGTAGCGCGGTAATGTCAAAGTAGACGCGCTCCTCGCGGACGTGCGTGGCGTAGGCGCGGATGTGCGAGCGGAAGGCCTGGCGGGCGGAGACGAGGAGGGGGTTGTCGGGTGTTTTGTTCTCGTCCTTTTTGGCGTCCTTCTTGCCCTTCTTGCCTTGTTTGGAGGCGGCGAATTTCTCGCTTTTGGATTCGAAGACGGGCGTGGCGCCGGGGAGAGGAGCGAGGAGACGCTGTTCGAAGTGTAGTTGGAGAGCTTCGGCGCGGGAGGCCCAGGATTGACGGTCGGTTTCGAGAACGCCGGACTCGGTACCGGGGACGTTGATGGTCGTGGCGAAGCCCTTTTGCAGGATCGAGTCGTAGAGCTGGGGCGCGATAGGAGTCGACTTGGGCAGGATCGAGATGTAGCCTTCTTCGGAACCGGGGAGGAGGAAGAGAACGGCTTTACCGGCGCGACCGGCACGCGCGGTACGACCGATACGATGGACGTGGTCGGGCACGGCAAAGGCCGGGTCGTATTCGATAACGAGTTCGACGGCCGGTACATCGAGACCACGAGAGGAAATATCGGTGGTGATGAGAACCGCGGGGTCCTTGCACTCGCTGAAGGCCTTGAGGGTGGCGCTACGGACAGGTTGGGCGAGCGAACCGTGGAGCTTGTGTAGCATCACCGTGGGGTTGGCTGGGGAGGTGATGTATGTTGCTGGCCCGACGGTCGTCTCGATGTGGATATTCGGCTTGGTGGGAGCTTCGCCTTCGGGCTTGGGTTCGGGCTCAGCGCGCGGTGCGGTAGACTTGAGTAGCTCGAAGTGGTAGTCGACCGAGTCGGCACACGAGATGAAGATGATCGCCTTCATGACCGAGCCCTTCCTGGCAAAAGTTGACTTGAGCAACGCAATGAGCGTGACCAAGCGCAACTTGGCGGGTGTAATGATAGCGGCCTGCTTCAACTGGGCGGGCGCAGAGAACGCCGTCTCAACGGCACCGGTCTCCGCATCCTTCTCCATATCGCTCTTGGACGCTGTGATATGAACAGCATCCTCCAAACTGATCTCGCCCAGCTTCTGCACGTTCATCTTCATGGTAGCCGAGCAAAGAACCGTGACTCTCCTCGAAGGGAGAACACCATCCAGAACCACGCCCTCGGCGTTCTTCTTCTGTAGTGTGCCAGCCCTGATTTTGCCGACAATGGTCTTGATATCGTCCTCGAATCCCATTTCCATCATGCGATCACCTTCATCCAGAACCAACCAACGGACCGTACCAACTTCGAGAACCTTTGTGTTGTCGAGATGATCTGTCAAGCGACCGGGAGTAGCAATCAGGATGTTGACACCCTTTCTGATGCGCGCCTTCTCGGACTTTTTGCTCTCACCACCTATTACCGTAGTGCACACCAGCCAAGGGGCGCAGCGCAACACCTTCTCGAGCACAACAGAAATCTGCTTGCAAAGTTCGCGGGTGGGAGCAAGGATGATGGCGAAGAGCCCTGAGTTGCGGTTCATCTTGGTGGCCTTCGGGGTACCGTCCTCGTTGTGGCTGAGGGCCAATATCCTGTGGACGATGGGGAGGAGGTATGCTAGCGTCTTTCCGGAACCCGTCTCGGCTTGTAGGAAGGCATCGCTGTCCTCCTTGATTAACTGTGGTATCGTGTTCTTCTGGATGGCTGTCGGGGCCTTCATCTCAAGCTTCGTCGCCAGGTGCTGGGATACACGTCGGGAGAGACCCAATGAGAGGAAGTTTTCTGCTTCGGCAGTTAGGGGAGCGTTCGAAGGTTGTGCAGGCTCGGCCTCTTCGGCTTGGGGAAGCTCCTCGAAGTCGGTTACTGGAACGGGATTCGAAGTAAACAGTCGCGAGGATACGAGGCCGGTTTTCATGGCATGTGTCGGCGGCGGCGCCGGGCCTCTCTCGGCGGGATTGCCTGTTCGTGGGGTCTTGGAGAATCTGCCGGAGTCGCCATCTTCTGTCCGTTGACGTTTCGCGCTTCTGTTCGTGTAGTAGTCGGCGCCGGTATCTCGTCGCCCTGTCGATGCCTCTTTTGTCTGGTCTTGTCCACCCTTCTCGCCCTTTTGCGCCTTGACTCTGTCCCTCCAACGACCACCTGTGTACTTGACTGTCTGCTTGATCGGAGCATCTCCGATCTCGAAGTTGAGGAACATATCACCGTCTTCCGCCATTTTGACTGATTTTTCTGCAAAAAAAGAGGTGTGGTGGTGCTGGCAAAGATCAATTGGCAATGTATGGAAGACGAATGTTCTGGGAATTTGGCAGAAAAAAAGTTCAACGTCCATGTCGATCCCCGCAACACAGTGGCTCTCAGTGGACTGGCACTCTGGGCGGTTGCACTGAAAGTGGGATCGGGTCCTTGGCCAGATCGAAGTGGGGCACCCGCTTGTGTAAGTGGACCGTATTAACTCGCACTGTCCCTGTATCATTCACCTCCTTCAAAGGACAAACCAATGCCTGTGTCTCGAGAGTGATCATGTTGATATTGTTACAAGTTTTCTAATCATTGCTCATTACTCGTTGCTAATAATACATGGGTACTCGTAAATTCGACAAAAAGCCACCGTGAAATGCCAACGTTGTCAGGAACTGCTGCTCAAGATATTCGCGAAACATGTACGCATGTGATAACGTTTCCTTGCTGGGGTAATTCACGCGGTTCTCATAGCATCCAATTTTCCCAAGTCCGAGAATGTCCTGCGAGGAGTTTCAGTAAGCAGCTTGGTAATAATCCAACGTCGTCCCATCGTAGGCGAATCTCTGGTCTCGACGTTCAAAACGCATTAACATACCTCGTATAGTCAAAATACTGTTATACGCGTGTCACACTCAGAATCGGAAGCAGTCTTTCACAAGATCTCCGTGTATCTCTTCAGAGACAGATCTCTTCCCGATCGGAGATTCTGGATGGAGGCCGCGAGTGTCCAAACTCATCTTGGGTGGCATTTTTGGCCAGACTTTGCGCGTAGGGGGACTTCTTCCGGAGAGTCGGTCCGTAGATATACGTTAAGTAGACCGCCGTGACGAGAAGAAGGGAGATAGCGAACAGGATGGTGTTGGCAATCTCCAAGTGCCTCTTCCCGCCAATGTTGCTAACGAAGGGTGTGGCGGGCACAGTTAGGACACCAGCAAGGAAGTCGCGAGCCCACCCGTTACCTCCGGTAGCCGAAGCCGAGTAGGGGCCGTATGCGCAAATCATGTACTGTTGAGTATTTGGTTAGCATGTGTTTTCTCAGTCAAAGAGGTAGAATCAAGCTTACGTCGATGGTGGCCATGTAGATGGAATAGTTCGCAATGCCAATGATGGCAGACCCGACCATGGTCCCAGTCCAATGAATGGGCGGTCCACTGCACGTCCAGGCAAAAATGATCAGACCTATGGGCAAGCATGGCGCAGTCCAGAGAAGCCACCATAGTCGAGATTCATACTGCGCGTGCTCGCTATGCGGTTTGAGATCGCGTGCCCTCTTGTTGCGCTTGAAAGCTGGTAAGAAGGACAGCCAGGCGATCAGGTACCCCACGCCAATTGGGATGAAAGCAAGGCCAATTTGGATCTTGGAGAATCCCCATTGATTGTAGACCAGAACAAAGGACTGGATCTGCATAAAGATGAGGGCATCAGAGAATCCCGACAGTAGTGAGAAAGTGAGGACGATCGGCTCCGTAACAAACATTCGAAAGGGACGGCCCCAGTTTTTCGTCAACTCTTTCCAACTGAAGCGTTGATGGATGGGGCAGAGTTCATTGGGGCCGTAGACATTGGGTGCCATGCCTGACTCTCTGCGCTTCTTGGCGATTTCGTCGAGATGGATAGTACATCTCGTCTCTGGAACACAGAGTTGGTGAAGAAGCTGAACGAAAACACCAAAGATCAGCTGGATCCAGATGCACCACCTCCAGTCTAGATAGGTCTCGACAAATCCGCCGATGATGGGGCCAAGGACTGATCCGCCCACCGAGGAAAAGACGATATAGGAGACGGCAACTTGCTGGTCAGCAGGCTCGTACATGTCGGCAATCATGCCGAGAGTGACACTGCCACCAGCGCACGATAGGCCTCCTAGGGCGCGGCCAACGAGGATGGTTGCGAAATTGGGAGCGAGGGCGACGGGGATGGACCAGATGTTGACCAGAAGGAGTGAGGCCTGCAGAACCTTTTTGCGACCAAACTCTTCGGACCACGGCGCCCAAAGCTCGCACCCGAAGGCATAGGTGATGAGGAAGATGGCTGCGCCCCAGCGGGCTTTCTGGAGGCTGATACCAAACTCTTCAGATATGCCGGCTAGACCGTTCGAGTACAGTGACGTGTTGAAGTTCATGGATGTCTGGACGAGGAAGATGACGGTGAGGATCATCCATTTCCTGGACTTGGAGTACGAGAAGGGGAGTTCGTCGTAGGCATCATTCTTTTTCAGTTCAATCCTGATGTCCAGCCGCGGTCCCTCATGGACTTGTGCGTCACCACGGTAATTTCTGTTGGAAACCGAGTCTGAAGGGTGCAATGTATCTTGTGAACAGGTATCACCCTCCTCCTTTTCCAATTCACCAGGCGGTGGTCGGTCATGGAGGGCGTGCATGACGTAATTTTATGGCTTTCTGTTGGATCGAATTCAGGGTCTTGAAAAACCGAGATGGTGGTCTGTCGGTGCGTATCAAGGAGCGTCGAGGAAGAAGTCGAGATGACAGGTGCCGACTGGCAAAGGGACAGCTCGTATGCGATTAATTATATACAGCATACGGCAGAACACTTGACGGGATTCTGGCATCAGCTGCGCTTCAAAGTAGGCTTGGCGTGGAGGATTGTAAACATATGACGGCGTCACCATGCGAGTACTGAGTCGTGCTGTATCGATGGTGGTATAGGGGGGCGAAGAGCTATTGTTTGGGTCTGGGATTGCCTATATCAACGTGCACAAGGTTGAGGAAGAAAGAGAGGAAGAAGATGACGATGAGAACAAGCTCCCGGGGACATGGGGCGGTTTTTGATGCTGGGGAGGGAACATGGTGAAGCTCGTGAAGCGGCTGGTTTTGACCGCGTGACTTTATTTTTGCTGTGAGCTGCAACTTGCCAGTAGGTGGCAGCATGGAGGAGTTGGAAGACATGACGCTCGACAGCCGGAGATGCATCACCGAGGTAACTGGGAGCTCACGGGTTCTGTTTCTGCGGATGAGAAAGGATGTTTGGAGTCGTGAAGTTGGAGACGGAGAGATGGTGGAGAGAAGTGGGTTGATAAGGGTCCCAGTCCCTTGCTTGGCATTCATGTACCCCGGAGCTTTTACTGTTAGAGGCACATCAGTCATCTGACAGGAAATTGCGGGGAACAGATGCAATCATGTTAACAGAGCGGACTGCACGGTACTAACTTAGCCACAGGCGCGTGCCTTGCATTACCCCACCACGTACCGTGCCATTTCCATCTCGACCCTTGAGAACCGTCACAACCATAACTTGACAACACTTCTTTCTCTCTTATTTTCTCCCAATTCAGCAATACTCAAAGTTCACCGGTTGACGTCGAGTTATTTGAACCCCAGCTCCATTCATTCCCTGAGCTTTCATTATCCCTCTTGTTGAACCACCACCTGGATCATTGCTTGTTGTTTTTGTTGTGATGATGCAATCATCATCCGGTCCCGGTCGGTTTACATTGGCCGATTTGGTCGTACACCCGAGATGCATCACCAATGTGGAAGAAACTGGAACACGGCACGACGGGATGCTTCCCTGTGTTGGATGCTGTCGGGCGCCCGTCGGGACCGAGTAAGCAAAAACCACCCCATAAAGGCTCTTTGTCGCTACCACTGCGCCTGACAGCATTGCGGTTTCTGATCCAGACAGCCGACGTCGATCGTCTCCGCCCTCGCGTGGTGTCAGCTCAACTTTATTTCTCTGTTGGTCGAGGTTTCCAGGGCAGTGACACAACGACATGCTTACCCTTTCACAGCTCCCTATCAGATGAAATGGCCGCCCCCTTGTCCATCCCTTCGACATTCACTTGGCCTTCAGCCTGCCTGGCTGCTTTAAGAATGCGCCCCCTCCTGGACTTCCCCAGGGCAAGTTCCGACCTTGTGAACCCTTACATGCCGCATTTAGACCTACAGCATACACTATTTACGACGCAGACAAGCTGCTGGTCTCGCCCGATTTTCCGAAGCTCCAAGCAAGCCATCACACGCACCTCTCCCGTCTGCGCGCCACTCCTGCTTTTACTACGGCTTATTAAAGGACGACAGCATCCCCCGCCCGCGCGCCTGTCAACATGCCTCCCTACAACCCATTCAAAATCAACCCGAACTTTCTCCATCCTACCCTCAAGGCTAGTGTAATGAGCACTCAAGTTGCTGTCGCGGCTGGTGTTGCTGGCCTGGGAATCTACGCTTTCTACCTGAGACGGAACGCAAGCGGAAGCGCAACAGGAGCTGCCCTAGCCACCAACATGGACGCCAGCGATCTGAAGCCGGGCAAGCTGCCTCTGTCAGGCTTTGGCTTCCACAGCTTGCGCCTACACAGCACCGAGCTCATCAACCACAACACCAAGAAGCTGCGTTTTGAGCTGCCCGACCCCTCTCAGCCCAGCGGCATGGGCCTCACTTCTGCTCTTCTGACCATCTCCTTCCCCAAAGGACGATGGCTCCCTGTTCTCCGCCCATATACCCCCACAAACGACCTGAGTAAGTTTCTATCATCTCTCAATTCTTCTGTGACACGACTACCTAACTAACACCAACCACCAGACGAACCCGGCTTCGTCGAGCTCATGGTCAAGCTCTACCCAGGCGGCAAGCAAAGCACCCACCTGCACTCGCTCCAGCCCGGCGACACCCTAACCGTGGCCCCCATCCCCGAGCTCAAGTGGACTCCCAACAAGCACCCGCACGTGGCCATGATCGCCGGCGGCGCCGGCATCACCCCCATGTACCAGCTCGTGCGCGGCATCCTGACCAACCCGGCTGACAGCACCCGCATCACCCTCGTCTGGGGCGTCAACACGGACGAGGACATCTTTTTGCGGGATCAGCTCGCTGAGCTGGAGCAGAACTACCCTGGCCGGTTGAAGACTGTCTATGTCGTTGCTCAGCCTTCTGCGCAGTCCCCGTACCAGAAGGGGTTTGTGACTAGGCAGGTACTGGAGCAGGCGGGGATTAGTGCTGCCGCTGAGAAGAGCAAGGGGACAAAGGTGTTGCTTTGTGGACCGCCGGCTATGGAGAAGGCGTTGAAGGGGACTAAAGGGTGGGTGGGAGGTGGGAAGAAGGGTGTGTTGCAGGAGTTGGGGTATACCCTGGATCAGATTTACAGCTTTTAGATGGGTGACTGACTGGGGAAGAGCGTGTTTGCATGGTAAGGGTTTGTGATGAATGGGTTTGGCGGGAGTTTGTATGATGACTGGTGGGAGTGGAATGGTTGATACATCTTGAAGGCTTAGCTGGTGCGGATAATACCAAGATTGTGATTGCTTCCGCTGTTCAAAGATGTTTGGAAACAAGTGTTTTCATTCTGGTCGTTCAAAACTTGGGACTGGCAATCGTTCTCCCCTTTTGTCTGTTTGCCTGGGTTTCCTGGCAGCACATCAAAGGCTTTATTGCGGAGTTTGTTATCTAATGCAGTCACGTGGGATCTTGCGTGAGGTTGACAATGCGTGTCCCACCTTGGAAGGGCATCATGCCCAGAGATACGGTACATGTATAAGGTGACTGACTGACTGCAAGACTATATCTCACTCACATGTGACGGCTGGCCCTCAACATCCCCGTTGCAGCTCTTTCTGCTCTCCTGGTCAACCCATTTCTTGTCCTTTCTCTCCCCTCTCCTCTCATATACCTCCAATGTAGGTACCTGTGTTCCCCTTGTCCGATGCCGACTATCACATCTTGGGGTAGGTAAATATGATCACTGATCTCAGTTACCCTGTCTCCCTGTCAAACTCATTGACTACCTGCCACAAGCTAAGAGGATTGGCTAGGTAGCACCCATGAAGTTCTCATCCCCAGCACCAGAGCTGACTCCCAATGGACGGACGGGAGTCCTGGGTCGGACGGGTGGCGCCGGTGAAGCCGAAGCCGGTGAGAGGTTGCTGCTGGGCAGCGCGTGGAGCGGCCGCCCTTCCGTTCTTGGGAGTAGTAGCGGAGATGTGGATGGGATCTTCCGGCCCTTTGAGGCGGATTCTGACGCCGTGTTGGTGTTCGAACTGTTAGGATAGCTCCGCCCTTCCTTCTATGATATACTTCTCACCACCGGCGGTGGTGGCGGCGACCCGGCGAGGCGGGACACTTGTGTTCGGGGCGGCAGGTTGCGGTGGTGGGAGAAGAGCTGGGCTGCGGTGCTTGCGGTAATCGCGGCATCTTCAAGTACCGTTGCTCGCTGCCCGGCATTGTCAAGGGTGCCTGCAACAACTGCCACCTGAATGCGGGGGGCAGCGCTTGCCTTCTACACAACGCGCAGACCGCAAGCAACGACGGAAATACTCCGTCTACCTCTGGCTCGTTGACTGTGTCGTCTTCGAGGAGTGCTTGGAGGAGTTGTCCCTCGACTGAATCGGGGTCATAGGAGTAGCTACCTAGATAGACAGGCAACACCCAGTTAGTCAGACTGTTGCCTGCCGACAGTCATCTGTATCTACCTCTAGAAAAGGCTCGTCAAACTTGGACGTCGTCCACATGCAACTCACTTTGCGAGTCACATCATCATCAGTCAGGCCCGTGAGTGTTCACGCATCAACAAAACAATAACCGCTCGAGTAATTGCATTGCAACTTTCTTATTGTAAATTCTATTGGATTCAACTAAGCATGTATTGTTTTATTCATTCTACCATTGGTATCGCAAAAACGTTGTACTAGAGTGTCAGGAGTGTCTCAGCAGTCAGTCACTTACTAATTTGGGCCAATCAAAGGCGCCAAGAACCGTCACTTGATTGAAGAGCAAAAGGGACAATATGAATCCCGAGTACTTGGGTACCTCTACTTCTATTCTTCTTGTCGTGAATAGGTTATCACTGCGCTGTGATGCCTCCTCTCCTGGTGGTATAAAAGGCACTGTTTCTGTCGGTGAAAGAAATCTTTCCCCTTTTTCCTCCTTTACTTCCATCACTCATCGATCACTCAGGTAAGAGCCTCATTTCTCATCTCAACTGCAGTTCTCCCATCCAGATATCTCCTGAAAAATTGTTCGAGACATTCACTGTCGCCGCTTCTCATCAACTTTCGTCCCTGCCTACATTATCACCTCATTCATCTGATCCTGAACACGTCCTCAAGCATATCTTCAGTACCACCAAGCGGTGAGAAACATTGATTTGACAGTCAACTTGCATTTCCAACCCTCAGATTTTACTCATCACCCACCGGCATCATGTTCGCACCCCATACGCCCGTCCACTTTGACGTTTTCCTCACCTTAAACTCCAGTCATTGCATGTAGTCCCATCATAAACCCCAGTCATTGTCCTCATCTTGAGCTCCAGCCAAGTGGCCAGGTGGAGAAGAGCCCAGATCACCCGCCAGGAAGAATTGATTATTTCCCCCTACAGAAAAATAGACGGGAAATTTTCGGCTCCCCCTTGGTGGCATTGGCGGATCCCTCTTCCACAGCCTGCTTGTGTTCGTCTTCGAGTTGCAATTTGAGATTGGGCCTACTTCTGAACTTTCGGCCTGCTTCCGAGCTTCAGCTTGCTTGAGTTCCTCTTCGAGTCGCTTCTCTTCGGCCTGTTTCTGGGTTTCGGCCTCCATGTGATGTGGTGCTCTTCGAGATCACGACCTATCCTCTAAATCGGCTGCCCACGCACCTCATCTAGAATGACTGTCTTTAACCTGAAAGGGCAAGGCAGTCTACACCTAAGTTCACCTTCTTCAGTCTCGGGTTTCCACATATTTCAAGCTCTCAACCTTTCCCGCTCTTCTTGTAACTGCTATCATTTTCACGTATGTACCTTCTTATCAGCAAGCGCTTCTCAAGACAATCCACCAGATACATCTCTGTAGTTCAGTTGGGTGTAGAAAAAAATAATGCCCTGCCCCAAGTGCGATCCTATCCCCTTGGTTTGAGATTATTCGAAGACCTCGCCTGTAACAATCGATTACTCGTTGAAATGAGCGCCCAGTGGCTTTGCATATACCTACCTTACCTGTGCGGGAGTACCGTAACTCGTGGGAATCTTCCGACTGCAGACTAACAAAGGCGGACTTACTGCGTAGACTGCCATGCCCTTTCAGGTTAGAAGCAGTCGTTCGAGATGGAGTGGGCAGTGGATGTAGATGACAGGGTCAAAGTTGACCTCGTTTTCATCTCAAACTCCAGCCATTGGCCTGAAGGCAGTCATATGAGAGGAGCCCATATCACCCACCAGCAAACCCAATTGCAATCCCAATTGAAGGGTTCACGAACATCGTTTGCTTGAGTTCGTTCTATCTCATCTCAACATCGTTCCAAGCTGAGCCAAGCGGCATATTACCCAACCCAGCGAATTTTCAGCCGATGTAGCACTCCTCCGACTTTCGTTCACTCGTTGGTGATACTTCTCACCGCAACGCAAGCCGTCCCGCTCTGTGCTTTGGCCTTCTATCCCGTCACCCGTCCTCTTCGGCTAGCCTGTGGGGCGTAGGCGAAGAGCGTCCCCTCCTTCGAATACTTAAAGGCACTCCTCCCCCCTCTCAAGCTTCCTCTCCTCCCTCCCTTTTCTTCTACACAGCAGGCAGTCCAGCGATTTGCTTCTGCATCGTAGAGGTAAATATCCCCCTCCTCCTGCCTTTTTATATCCTCGACCTCACCACTTACAACATCACCTCCTATCAAGGTATCACCTACCACTACCACATCACCTACAGCGCAGTGAGTGGAACTCCAGCCATCAGTGAGCCTTCCCGCTCTAGCCTTCACTCCTTTCACTCGTCCTCTCCAGCCGGCCAGCCTCCAGTGAGGCGTAGGCGGAGACCCTCTCCTCCTTCGCATACTTAAGGCACCCTGCCTTCCTCTCACCCTTCCTCTTCTCTCTCACTTCCGCTGTCAGCAGCTTTCCTCGTTTGGCTACCTTGAACCAATATCCTCTCGTTGCAGCAACGAGAATCAGGATCTCATCCATGTTCAGGGCATTGCTAACATCATCGGCATCAGGAATACTGGATGTCAGCACAAGATCCGCGCGTTCGGCAAGCTCAATATCAAATCATCCTCGAGACAAGATCTCAACAAATATCAACGATCTTCAAACGTCAACCAACCTTTCCACAGTGAAACATACCGCACATCATCTGCCTTTCCCCGGTAGAATTTTTTTTCTTTCCTCCAACATAGGTATCATATATACCATCAAGAATTCATCGACAGCATCAATCATCAACGGTCATCATGCCGTCAACCGTTCTTCCCGCTGCATTTTTTGCAGCCTCGCACGCCTTCCTCTCCGAAATCATCAAGGAGTCAGGCAACACCGTTGCTCTCCCTCTTCCGACCACGCCCAAAATCGTCGAGTCGTCCAACACCCCCGGTCGTCTCCCCACTCCTCCTTCCACTCCGGTCATCACTCCAATCCTCGATGACAACTCCGAGGTCAAGATTGTTCGCATCGGCATCACAAAGAAAGACAAGAAGGGCAAAGGAAAAGCGTCTACTGCCGCTGAGAAGGACAACCAGGGCCCTCCCACTCCCGAGCCTGAGCCCGCCTCTCCTTCTTCGCACGTCCGTAAGCTGGTGACCGTCCGCCAAATCAGTGCCGTCGACAGTGCCCACCGTTATCACATCAAACTGACTATCGACGGTTGGACCGTCGGTTTCAAGCGCCCAAGCAAGATCGACTTCAAGGCCGGTGATCGGTACATTTTTCTGGAGCCGGACACCCTCCTCCCTGCTGATCATCCTCGCTTCGGAAAGCTGTTCGCCCAGGTCGGCAACCCCATCACGTACAACGGTCGAAAGTGGTTTCGCGTCGGTACTCGTAGTATCGGCAACCCTCGGGTCCCGCGCTGGCATTTTGTTTCGCAGGGGCACGTCTTTCCCCTTTCATACTTCCCGGATATCCACAACGATGTCATGCTGAAGACGAGGCTGGCAAGATTCGGTAGGGAGCAGTCTGAGCAGCAGGAGGATGGTACCGAGGAGGATGAGCTGGTCGATTACTCGGTCATGCTGGGTGCAATCAAGTGGGATCCGCATGGTATTTCCCCGTCGAAGAACAGTGGCGGCAAGAGCGGCAATACTCCCGCTCCCTCGGTCAAGATCCCGTCCTGGATCCGCAAGACAGACATTGAGCGAGTCCAGAGCTGTCCCAACCTGTTCGTCGAACCCAAATACAAGAAGATCGTCTACCAGGAATCCGTCAAAATCGATGGCGCCAGCATGACTTGCTATTTCGTCCCCCACGGCTCAAAGTACTTCAACAGCCTCCACAAGCCCCATCCCGGCCCCGAGTCAGCCGCCATGTCCATTTTGGAGACTGGCAGGTTCGGCGTCTGCAGCAAGAACGTCGACCTGCCGTTTTCCGTGGACTGCCCCTACTGGACCGCGGCCATCAAAAACAACATCGGAGCTCTCCTCGAGGACCTCCACAAGAACGGACTTGCATTGCATCGCGGCGCCCTAGCTATCCAGGGAGAGTTGGTTGGTCCTACTGTTTCCGGAAATCACTACCGCCTGCCTTCGACTTCTGCTCCCTCGTTCACGGTCTTTTCTGTGTGGAACATCGACACCCAAACCCGCTGGGGACCCCGCAGCGTCCAGAAGTTTTGCGCTACCCATGGCTTGAGCCACGTCGAAGTTTTGGGCTATCATAAGCTCACGGATATTGCTTCTTCCCATGGCGAGCTTATTGCCAGAGCCAATGCCAGGCAGGGCGAAGGCTTGGTTTTCAAGAGCTGCGCTGGTGATGGCCGTTGGTTCAAAGTCCTGTCGGACAGGTGGATTACGGAACGGGGTGATGAAGTCGACGCTAAGGCGGCTGACACGGCCGTTGACGAGACGCGCCGGGATGTTGACCTTGAGCCGGAGATGATGACCTCAGGAACGGAGGTGAAGAATGAGGCAGAGAAGCAGGCGGAGACAGAGGAGGCGGCAGCTTGCAAAGAAATCCACCCCTCGGTGATGCCGGAAGATGAGCAAAAGGCCCTGTTCGAGAATAATGCTGCCAGAAACCTGGTTCCTGCTCAAGAGAAGGGGCGCAAGGAGTTGGAAGTGAAAGTGGAGATCGAGCAGTTGGAGGAGAAGAAAGTTGTGGTCGAGAAGTGGCTGACCGGAATTGAGGAAGCGGAAGAGAAATCGCCGACAGAGGAGTGTGCCGTTAGAGAGGAACCTGACGAGAAAAAGGCTAGTGAGCTCTCAGACATAACCTCCGAAAAGACCTACGACGACGTGCACGGTTATTTGAACGCCGCTGTCACCTGGCTCGGACAACCGATGACCCACAAGGAAGCCATCGGAGAAATCGGCCGCATCATCTTGACCGAGATGGCGCTGCACAACAACAACATCGAAGCGTCCATGAAAGACCTGGCCGAGGTTGTTGCGGAAGAGCTGAAGTTCGTCGAAACCGACAAGAGTGTCGCTGACCAAAAGGTTGATACCAAGGAGGATGCTCCGACCAACATCACTCCCACCATCCCCGACACTCCCAACAGTCCTGTCAGCCCCAACACTCTCACTACTACCAATGCTCCCACTACTCCCCACGAGAGCAACCCAGCAATGGAGCCGGTGATCGTTTCGGATGCTGTGACAGGAACTATGCAGCAGAATGTCATTGGCAACCCTACTCCTCCCGCCTCCGAACATAACGACGAGCAGAACCCCTTTGCAGGCGTCAACTGGGATGACTACATTGTCGTCAAGCGGGGAGGAAATATGGTCTGCATGAGACGGGACGAGTACGTGCCGAGAAGCCCGCCCTCATTGTATCCATCTGCTGAGGAGGTGGCCCGTCGTCGTGAGATGGCCCGTCTCAGCAGACGTCGTCGTTATATCCTCTAAGGCCAAGGAATGGGTCTTCAAGGCCGTTCCAGTCTTCGGTCCCTCAGAACCGGAAATTCGGTAGTTGGTTGAGTGGTTGTTTCCTGGCGTTTGTGGAATGCCCCATGAGTCGGTATCATAGTGGTGGGAACTGGGTTTGGATGCTTCCTTCTTTTTTTTGCTCAGACCTGGTTGTGCTGGTTCGCACACGGGGCTTCAGGAAAGGGCGGTTATTCCCAATCGTCATGAATACCGAGGCATGTTCAGGCTGGAATAAATCGGCGGTTGGCTGACTGGTGGGTTTCCAAGCTCCGAAGAGCCATGATGAGAATTGGTAGGATTTGCATGAGGTTGTGGTGTGAGTGCTTTTTTCACCGAAACGCGCAGGAAGAAGGGAAAGGATTCACAGCAGGACTGTGGGCATTCGCTTGCTAAAGTATACCTAGTACATGACTGAGGTAGTTAGCTTTAACATTGCTGGTTTTCCCTTGAGGTTCGTGTTGTTCATATCGATCGTGAAAAGTGTCGAAATCGTCCATGTTGCGCCACCTGTGACATGAAACTTAAGTCCAGTAGCCCTGTTGATACTCCACGAATTGTGCGACTGATGACTGGCGAGTGTCACTGAGGGTGCGATGCTCAAACGAATGCCGGTGGCACAACCGCAGTGCCGAAAACATGTGGTGACGATCTCACTGTAATTGGGTGACCAAAGAGCACAGCATCGGTGGTGTAATTGAAGACCCTTGAGACCGACGCCAGAGCCTTAACAATAATATTGTGAAAGGTGTAGTCAAGTGATGAAGGAGAACCGTGGAAGAGGATAAGGACCTCGACGTCGTCAAAAGAGGATCCCAGTCTCCACCAAACAGCAGGAGCTCAGACCATCGGCAGATCAAGCTGGGGCAAGCGGAGCTCAAGAGATGATCGAAGGTGGTCAAAGCTCCCAGTTGTGGTGCCTGTCCCGTCGCAGCTGAAAACCCAATTCAGGTTAGGCTTTCAGATGAATCCCCACTTTCCATGCAAGTTCCAGCTGAACGGACCAGTCACATCGTCCGGATCCCTTCCAGCGTCTCCCAGCCTTTGAAATTCCCGGCCAGTGTCACTGTAACGTGAGCGCTTCCACTGATTCTAAAGTCTGGGTCAAGTCCGTTCATGTCCCCCCGTCCTCTCCGGCGCTTGTTGAGCTTCTCAACATTGATAAAATATCTCGTGATTTTCATCCAGACACCGCTTGTTCTCATCTTCCATTTCATCCACTCACTAGCTCACCACTTATTTTGAAAGAACAACCAGCAGTTGAGCCTCACTTGACGACATACCGATCCAATGCCACCTCCACCGCCTCCCGCGACCCGGACCATGTCTCCGCCAACAAGGCGCCCCGGTGATCGCGACCAAATGTATAATCCGCGCCAGTCGGATGCCAGCTTGCCATATCGATCAGACAACGATACGGTTACCATCCAGAAGCCCAATGGCTCCGAAACCACTTTCAAGCTTCCTCCGTCCAACCTCAAGGACCTGCCGTACCGACCCGCTCCCAATGGCACCTCGGATCCCAAGAGACGGCCATCCGACCCAGCCTACCGCCCCGGTGACCGTGATCGTGAACCGCAACCACAACGAAGAGCCACCTCCCCAGCACCGGGGACAATTCCGCCAGCCCCAGTATCTCCCACTTCCAAGCCGTCCTATGTCCCCGGTCACTCCCCGCCAGGCTCACGGAACCCTTCCTATGGCAACTACAACCCACCAGCAGGCCCCAATGGTCCCGACGGCATGCCGGGTGGCTTTCCCACCGGCGGCCGTATCAAAGTGGAAACTCCTCCTTTGGATCCTCTCGACCCGCGCTCGCCTTCGTTTGCCCGCCGTCCACCTCCCGGTCCTGCTCCCATCAACGGCGGCATGGACGGCGACCACAATGGCTCTTTGAACGCCATCGGCGGTGGCAGCCGCCGTCCCGACGTAGTCGAATCCATGCCCGGTCCCGCGGCCTCCCTTCCCTCCAACAAGGATGATCGCGACCGGTTTGATCGCGATCGGACTCGTCCCAGCACCAATAATCCCCGTTACGGCTCCGAACGTCCCCCAAGCCCAGGTTACACCAAACCACTCCGCCCTCTCCCTCCCCGCAACAGCAGCAGCACCGGCAACAGCGACTATGGCGTTCCCAACAGCAGCAGCAGACCAAACGGCAGTACCACCGTCAACAAACCCAACCCATCCAACCCAGGGGCAACCAACCCGACGACCCGTCCCTCCATCGGCCCGGGCCGCCACGGCTCCATCATCGAAATGATGCCCGGCCCCGCCGCGCACTCCCCTCCTCCTCTTGGTCACAGCCACAGCCACGGCCACACCCATCCCTCCCTTTCCAAACCCAGCAAAACCGCCGCAAAGCTCTCCGAACTCGAAGAAGGTCTACTCTACGGCGACACGGAGCTATACCCACCGCAAATGGAACTGGGCGACTACCGGCAAGCAACCGAGTGTTCGTTGAGGGAGTACATGGCTTTGCAGCGCAAGCGGCGACAAATCAGCTATAAGATTGCGGCGGGCAACAGCGGCAAGGAGGCGGTGTTAATCGAAGAGAAGCTGAGACATCAGGCCAGCACGGCGATCGATGAGTTGATTGAGTTGCGCGGAAGGGTGGCGGAGATAGTGAGGAGGGGGGAGAAGGCGAGGTGGAGGCGGTATTTGTGGAGTGGGGCTTTGTGAGTTTCTTCCTTCTTTCCCTTATTTCATCCCTTTCCCCGAGCTCCCAGTACTCAGTTACTAACACCACTACCAAAAGCGCAATCTTCATCCCCCTAGTAAAATCTTTCTTCCGCCCTTCCACCGTCGACAAAGGCGCGCATGCTCGCGATCACGCCAGAAACAGAACCGAATACGCCTTCCGGAAATCCAAGTCCTTGCTCAACCGGATCCTCTCGCAAGCTCGGCGTCCCGGACTGGCCAGTTTGAGTTTCCTGGTTTTCGCCGTGTTGTACGTCTTCACGAACGAGGTGTCGTTGAGGGCGGCGAGGACGGTGAGCAGACGCCTGAAGAGGTTGACGGCCAAGGTGGAGAGGGGACGGGAGTTGGGCGAGGAGGACTTGAGGGGGTTGAAGGGGTGGCGGTGGGGGATTTTGGAGTTGACTGCTTAATGGGATAGGGTTGTGGTTAGAAGATGGGGATGGGGATGAAAGTTGGAGATGTGGGATACGGGATGGTAATGTGGGAGAAAAGGGAGGAGTGAAGGAAGAGATGATATCGATGATTAATGACTGGTAATGACGGAGTTGTTGGGCGTTTAGATGATTTTTCTTTCTTTCTTGGACTAATGATGAGATTTTGGAGAGGAGGAGGAGGAAGGGCAGGTTGGAAAGAAGAGATGGTTGGCAATTTGTTGGTTCCCGTCCATGTTTGCTGTTTTCATACCCTCGCTTATACCATTTCTGAATTCTAATTTGTATGTAGGAAGTAATATTGAGGTAGATTGACCCCTGAACTTAGTAGGCTGCGATACAATACCCATTGAAGAGTCAGACACTACGCTGGTTGCGAATTGTTGTTCTGCTTGACAAAACATTCCCGCTTCCCCCTTACGATCACACGCACCGCTCAACAGTATGTTGTTTATCGGTTTGCATCATAGAGTCACCAGTCCTCAATCCGCGTCATTTGTCAACATCCCAATAGCACTGACACAGACATAGATACCTCCGCTACCCACGAAGTTATATCATGCCAACCTCTCTTCCATTTACTCCGGTAACCTACCTACTTGCTCCCTGGTGTTCAGCACGAACGGTAGGTAGCTAAAAGTGACCGTCATCATGGCCACCCCCAACTTGTACACACCCGAGCAAATCTCCGCCCTCCGATCCCTGCGCCACCGCCTCAGCTCCGCAAAATACAACTGGGAAGTTCGGCAGCTGTTGAAGAATACAGCTAGCGCCACAGGGCTTAAGCAAGTACAGCTGGTACAGTGGCAGGATGGGGATAACAATAGAAAGAATCTGCTGCATTATTTGGTGGATGAGAGGATTGAAAGTAAGTGCCCTAGGTACCTAGACATATTACTGTTCCTGTACTTTCCATGCTGTGGCCTTGTGGGATATGAGAACACGGGTCTGGTGGATGCGGCTAGTGGCAGATGTGGGCGTAGCTAATTTCGACGTTGACGTTCCGCAAAAACAGAAGTAGCAATCCTCCTCATCAAAGTCTTCTGGGACCGGAAGGAAGAAGACCAGCGGCAGCTCATGCGCATCATCCGGTACCCAAAGTGCTACATCGACAGTCCTCAAGGGGAAGGTAATGGGGAATATACGGTTGAGCGTCTCGCGGAAGGAAGAAACTGTGAGCAATTGGTGGATATGATCACCCGGTTTCGCGAGCTGTATCCCGCTCGAGGAGATGTGGGAGAGGAAGAGGAAGAAGTCGAAGAAGAGGAGGAGAGAGCAAGGGAGACAGAACGTATGGTTAAACACCAACGAATAAGCACCCCTATACCTAGAACTCCTTCTCCTTCTCCTTCGTCAACGTCAACTGGTTCTCATCCATTGGTAGCCGCTAACTTTTCTCCACTGCATGTGGTCAAGAAGACTCCTCGTCTTGCTGCGCGGCAAGCTAGTACGCCTCCTACATTACCTCTACCTGGTACTCCTTCTCTACCTAGTACTCCTCTACAGGTATTCAGTAGCCCTCCTGTACAGATACGAACTCTTCAACCTGGTACTCACGGGCATCAACCTAGTACCCCCCCCACCTTTCATACCTTCCACTCCCCCAGCACCAGGAGCACCCGCCACTCCACTTTGGTATCCTCCCTCAGATCCAGAGCCAGAGCCAGAGCCAGAGCCAGAGCCAGAGCTAGATCTAGAGTGGGAAGAACAAAGAGCAAGGGAGGATCAACTGCTTCCGGGTACTCCTGTGCCTGTACGGTCGTCACCACCTGAACCTGACACTCCAGTTCGTCTTCTAGTACCTACCTGCCTGCCAACTTCCTCCCGTCTCTCCTTTATGGGATCCATTGGTTCATGATGATGAGACTAATCGTCCTGCGTTAAATGGTATTCTAGTCCAGAAATAGTAGAGGCAGATGGTTGTAGTAGTCTTAGAGGTATGCCGAGGACTCCTCCGCATGGTTACAGAACCTGGGGAGTTATAGACAAAACGTCACCAAGAGTATAGGGGGGTTTTTCTTGGTTTAGGTAAATGAAGAAGAAAAGGTCGTTTCCCAAACGTGAAAGAGAGGAGGCCCCGAGTGCTTTCGTACCTACCGGGGTGGTTTCTGTAGAAGCCAAGTTCTGGGTGGTGATGTGCTTGGATTCTGTGACAATGTGCATCATTTTGACACTGGGTCTATCAGAGGTGACCGAGTGGTTTGATACCTAACAAGATCTAAGGGATGCAGGGAATCTAATCTACCTAGTAAACAGCCAACGTGAATCCTGCTCATTTAATGGTCTGGCGCTTCTTCCATAATTCGCAGCATTGACGTCTTCCTTGAAGTTATCCGGTTTTTTTTTTTTTTTTCGTTCCTTTTCGGAGCTGTCCAACGCTTTTACCTCCAATAAGAAGCCAGGTAAAACACAATAGCGTGCATGGGGGGAGGCAAGTGACTGATATTATAGGAGATCCTGGCATAAACAAGTGTGCCCTTGCCACCGGCCCAGACAAACCAGGCAACATACCGAAGAATGGACAATAAGATATTAGGTGTTGATGGAAAAGTGAAGAGTACAGATGGTAAGCCCAGGCAAGTGATAGGAGTTCAAGGGGAGGCGGAAGATTTAGATGGGGTAGTGTTGTCTGATACAGAAGCAGTATGTGAAGCCTGCACTGTAGCTTTTGTTGACGCCGAGAATGAGGCCATACTACCGTAACACTGGACGTATGTAGTCTCTGACTGCCGAAGCCGGGCCTCATCCTGGCTGCTACTAGACAGGTTATATGTCTCCGTCCAATTGGTACTAGGTAGCTCGGAAGGCGGCTGGCAAGGCGGCTGAGAAGGCGCCTGGCTGACTTCGGAATTTTCGAGTTCACCTGGGCTGGTAGGTCCTTGACGTTGCCATGCAGACGGCCCATGCGGCTCCCCGCGAGACTGAAGTAGCGACTAGCAGTTGAGGACAGACGTCGGGTCGGTATTGTGGACTGGTATTCAGAACCATACCCGGGCGAACTGAGCCATGAGGTAGAGATGTTATCCACCCATTGCTGGACATCTCTTGGAGGCCGTGCTTGAGGCGCTGACCTGCTTCTGCGTGGGACGACGACCCGATCTCGAATTTCGCGAACGGTTCTGTGCATTCTTTGCATTGTTCCTCTGATTTCGGTAGTGTCTCTTCCTGAGTATCTGACCTACGTCCAAAAATTTTGGGGTCAGTTGGGGGTCAAGTTATAACGGAGGCAGGGGTGATTTCGAGGGATATTGACAGAGAAAGAAGCAGAAGGCTCAGGTTGAGAGACTGCTTGTGCGGTTAAGCTGACGTAGGAACTTCGAATTCCCATCGATGAAGTAGACGGACGATACGCCAATGTCGTTTGACGAACTAACCCCCATATTCTCCAAACATCTATAGGATAACCCAAGATATGCATCCTACACTGGTGACTGTAGCATGGTTGTTCTCAAGGAGCTTGTCAACAAGACATGGACTGCATTGACAAATCCAGAGGTGGGGAGTAGCTTCCAGACAGTCAGCAGAATGACTCGATGCCCCTGCACCATGAACGAACAGATACCTCTAGTCTGGTAGAGTTGATTTTACATCAAGTCTATCTTGCTTGAGAGAATGTGCTTTGTAGATGATCTGAGACCAAGAAGGGTTTTCCTTGCCGTCCTGGCTTGGTTTGTTGATGGTGTTGCGAACATGACACGTCTAGCTCCCTCCTTACATCCCACCCCCCAACCTCCGGTAGACCTGTGTCCACCCACGCTTTTCTCTTGTTTTGCCGTGTGAAATAAGGGGGGCTTGGAGCTGCAGGTTTCCTTTCTCACCTTCCTGGCTTTCGTCGGTTTCAACACTGGAGGAACGCTACTCGTCGAGAGGATATGCCTGTGATACGGCAGTGGGCGTACTTGTACAACCCTTATGGGCAAACGGTAAGCAACTGCCGCCACATCCTCTTGCTCTTTTGTTTCATAAACCAGTTAACCCCGGTCCTTGGTTGTACCACGATAACCTATTTTGCACGTCAGCTGATTTGCTGGCTTCACGTTAGTCAACTTACAAACGCCGTTACTCTATAGTTGCGTACTCGCAGGCCTCCAACTCGTAAGCGCGACCTTGCCGCAGGTATGGTGAAGGACCAGCTGTCCATGTCTGCTTTATATTTCTCGAATATTTTGAACCATGCTTTCAGAGCCTTTTGTAGTTTGCACACACATGCTGCTAAGAGCTTGATGTATGTTCGATTTTACGGACGTAGGTGGGAGCAGGCACTGTGCAATTAGGCATCCCAAACTGATGGTCGTCGCGCGGGGACTCAGTTGACAAAGGCCGTCAGTATCTATACAAAACGGCAGGAGGCTATTGTGGCAGGAGGCTATTGTCGCTAGAGGTAGCTGCCAGTGACCAGCGGGTTGACTGAAGGTTCCTCTACGTACCTAGAGGTATGAGCAGTGGCTAGAGTGTTGGGCCAGAAGATGGATCGCACCTTTGCCAAATATCATGTCGGAATGGTCGCGGCCCCATTAGTAGACCTCCCAATTCCGACAAAATCGATCCTTCAAGCCATGTGCTAACAGATGAGCAGGGTGGGTTGAGGTTGACATCAGACATCGAGGTGCCTCTTCTTATCTCTTATCTCTCTGCTTGTGCCTGCCGGGAACACAATTGGAAAGACCAGAGTACAGCCCGGGCATTTGCGCTTTCCTCTACCTTGCAACAAGCCAAGTTCAACTTGCCTCCTCTTCATTTCCATCTGGGTCCCTTGCTTCCTTTTATTTACACATTTTTTTAGGAAAAGCTGAGCGCGCCTCCAAACAGCATGCTTTGTGTTCCTTCTCCCACGCAACACCTATGACGTCACCACCTCCCCTGGTATCCCTGGTATGCCTGACACTGCAGATACGCCTTCCGCTGTACGGAGACAATGGTAGGCCATCTCAGGCAAGTACTTCTACAATCCAGCCCTGGAAAGTTCGTTGGCGTGGTACTTACCTAGAGCAAGCACTTTACTCCTTCAAGCTGGTCAACATCGCGAGTGGGACAAAGAAGTGGTCGTTGTGAAATGGCAATAAGACCAATCAATTTCCCTGTTTTCTCCCCCAGCCATTGGACTGTACTGAATCGTCATTAAAGACCTAGTTGTTCTCGTGGACTCGGCCATCTTCACCGAGCTTGACGGCTCTCGCTTCTCCTTGGCTTGCATCTACCATCTACACTGTATGGCCAAAGATGCAGGCTGCCGTCTGGCGCAGCAACTTCTTCCTCTCCTGTAATATTACAATACGCGTCAATATGGCACAGCACTCTCGGCCTCGTCTCTACACAACAACCGGTAACAAAGAGGTCAGCCCGCCGCCATTGAAGCGAAAAAGAGGCCAAGTATTGGATAGCCCCCGTGCCTCGTCAACACTTCAACAGCCAAGAAGCTCTTCTCCAAGCAGAAATGCGTTCCGTGTGTTCTCGTGGAACATCAACGGCATCAACGCCTATCTGTTGTCCACTCCCTCCACCAGAAAGATCTTCACAGAATCCACCAAGACGCAAAAGACCTCGAGTACTGACGCACCGCCAAACAACTATCGACTGCACACACCTATAGAACAAGCATCATTAGGTTCGCCATACTCGCTACGAGCGTTCCTTGCCCGCCATGACTGGCCCGAAGTCCTCTTCCTCCAGGAACTCAAGATCAAGCTGCAAGACGGACCGGCTCTCCTGTCAGAACTACTCTCTGCTCTGAATACACCGCTCAATGCCGCCGACAATGCGTCTGACGATCGTACCTACACTCTCGATGCAGTGCTTCCACGCGACAAGCACAATGTCAAAGCCTTCGGAGGAAAAATGTACGGTGTGGGAACAATAATGAGGACAGACTTTGCTCGCAAATGGGTTGCTACTGTGCGGGAGGTTGACTGGGATATCGAGGGGAGAGTCAGCGTTGTCGAGATGAGAGGGGCGCCAGAAGGGCTAGATGGGAATGAGTTAACCACGAAACCTCTCGCTCTCCTCAATGTCTATGCCGTCAACGGCACAACGCAACCGTACCGTTGCCCCCTAACCGGCGACACCCATCCCAGCTGCCTGACTCGTCATGACCGAAAGCTCGCCTTCCATTCCCTGCTCCGAGACGAATGCCTATCCCTGGAAGCTCGCGGATTCTGTGTGGTCGTCGCAGGCGACGTCAACGTAGCCAGAGGACCTGCTGACGGACACCCCAACCTCCGAACTTTCCCCGAACAACATTGCTTTGACAGGGCGGATTTCAACACCAAGTTCTTCGGCGAGGAAGACAATAAGCGAGCGGGGGCCTACGTCGGAACACAAGACGAAACAAACGAGAAGTGTCTTGATGCCGTGGATGTGTTCCGTGCAAAATATGGCATGGAGAAAAGATACACATATTACTCATACTACGGGGAGTGGGGGAGCAGTTGCGACAGGGTCGATATGGTGTTTGTTTCCAAGCAGTTGTGGGACGACGGACGCGTACTTGATACGGGAATACTTAATACGCCTCAGGAGTGCGGTCCGAGTGACCACGTACCGTTTTGGGTGAAGATCGCTTTGTGAGGGTACTAGCTGAGGCAAAGAGAGCATGGTATGATGTCCCACTTATCCCTCAATGTTACCTTTTGCATATAATATCTGACAATCCCCTTGGGATGTTTTTGCGACCGTACATCTGATTCTCACAAACTCCAAGCCCTCGGTTTTGGGACCCCTGAGTGTCGGACCCTTGGGCTCCACAAGAGTAAACAACGGTTGTCGAGATCCACAGCCACGCGAGTCAGATAAACCCTGAACAGCACCCGCAGTCCCACACCAAATCCACACCAATTGATAAACCCTAAATGGTTCCGTCGTCTTCAACAAAGCGTGGAATTCCATACGGATCGGGTATGGTGTAGCGGTAACATCGTTGACTCTCACTTCTCCAGGAGTGACTGCTTTCTCAACAGCCCCGGGTTCGACTCCCGGTATCCGAGTGATAAAACGATTCAAGTGATCCGGTTCTTCGCGCTTTCCTTTTTTTTCTTCTTTTTTTTTCACTGCAACATTCGTTTTTGCGCGTTTCATCTCTTCAGCTTTGTTGTTCTCCAGTTTCTCGTTCTTTTTCTCAGTTTTGCCTTCTTTCTCACTTCCAGCGTCCTCTATCTGACTCACGGGTCGTCTTATGGCGTCCATTATCACAGGTTGACATTGGTTTATAGTGTGGACATCCGAGTTCTGCTGGCGAGCAGAACATCGTCTATATCTTTTGGTAGTTTCTCGGAGTTGGTCGTTGTCCACTCAGCCCGTGATGTCCTTGTCTGCCAATTCGCCAAAATTATCCTGCCTCGTCTCCCATTTCGACTTCTCATTTGCCATGTATCACAGGATGAGCTTCGTGCACTTTCCGCATCCCGACCTATCCAAAGGATAACATCGCCAACTCACAACCACTGACGTTCATTCATCGAGTTCTATTCACCATCCTATATCTCTGCGGCAGGGTACTTAGAGGAGAAATACAAGCACATCACACTCAGAATGTCGGGAAGCTGTATGCTAGACACCAGCTATGCCGATGACGTATATACTTGCGGTAATATATCAAGGTCGTCACTTTGCTACCCAATGGAAATACGGGTCTATTATTTCATTATTCCGTGTTACTTCTTTGCACTCTGTTCTCTAACCACTGTCGGGCTCTCTGCAAAAAATACGCCAACCAGTCAGACCTTACCCGGTGCGCAAGCTCATCAAGCGAGCGTCTATGACCTTCAATAACACATGTTGACTTGATTATTTCGGCTATCATCCGTTCATCAATGCCCATGGCGTACAACGCGCCGATGATCCACGCCACAAATTCTATGGGTTGTGAAGTACAGGAGATTTCGGTTCCGGTTAGCCCGTTATTCCAAGAAGTGTACAACATGCCCTTTCATTGCCTGGTCTACCAGCTCCAGATAATACATACATACAGTGTACGTAAGGTTTGAGGCCAACGTTTCGCCTTCTGAAGGGAACAAGAATCTCACCTACCTGGATGTCCCTCATACACGTAACATTGTACCAGATTAGTAGTACTCCTCCCCTCCCGCCGTTCATCTTTCCACAGTACCATGTCGGGTATGCTGATATCAAAGTCATTGCTTGCGTTGCATAGCATTAAGCATACTTGATCCATAGAATTGGCCCAGGTGTCTGACTGCTTATTTGCGTTTCAATGCCTGATATCAATCTGAGGAAGTGGAAGAGCATGAAGCAAACAAGACATGTGTGGGTGTTATCTCCATGTGAACTAAGTATGAAGCAAAATAGGTAAACAGATGGCGCTTCCTTTCCTTTGATTCCCCATCTCCCTATTTCTCCATCCCGTTGTCCAGACAAACTCACCTTCGTTACTAACAACAAGCATTACAACAGGCTTCCTTTCTCTCGGGAGCGACGACCGTGCCGCTATGGCTTATGCTCCGAGAGAGATATAAAACAAGAATCCTCAGAACGAAAGTTAGGTGCCGTGCAAGACACTCGCTCACAAGACTTCATTTCTATTCAACCACGACATCACTCATATTTTACATTGGAACTAGGGACATAACAGACAAAAAAAATCATCCAGCAAGCTTAGCATTCTATCACCTCCCTCTACCCCAGCCGTACAGAACATTGACAGGTGAGTGAGTCAAGACCATTCATTCTCAAACCACTCCACACACACCAAATAGATTCCCTTCCCTTCCACCAACCTAAAAACCTCAAAAACCACCCTCTGGCCTGGCACGGATGCTACGTAGAGGTAGAGAGAAGACAGCCAACCCTTTCCAACATCCTCAAAATCCTTTCATACCCTTTCCTCTCCGCCAACTCCCTGAATGTCGTCGCCTCGCCATGAATAAAACACGTCGCATCCACCAGCTCCTGAAGCGTCTCCTCGTCTTTGGCATCTAGCAAGATCTGACAGATTTCCATGGCCACGGCTATTTTTTTTCCCCTCATCAGTTAGCATTCCATTCACTGTCGCTGTCATGTTAGGCCCAACCCGCAACCCGCCTAGAGGTATCTACACGGCAACGGACGGACAATTGTTCAAAACTTCCCGGAGAAAAGAGAAAACTAACCTTCCTCCCCCTCATCAATCAAATAAAACAACGCATTTCTTCGTTTCTGCCCTTCCTCCTGCCAAAGCAACAAAGAGGGCACGTCGAGGTTGATGGCGTCCGAGGTCATGCTGAGCGTCTGCCAGACTTCGTCGTACGAGGGCGAGCCGAGGAGGGTTTTGCGCATGATGCGGATGCCGTCGATTTGAGGGGTTGTGAGGGTTCCTTCGGGGGGTGGGACGAGGTCGGCTGGGGTTGTCATTTTTTTTTTTTTTTTTTTTTGTTCTTGGGGTTGTAGTAGGGGCTTCGATGGGTTTGTTTTGGGGGTGGGTTTGTGGTGAGGGAGTGGTGAGGGAGTGGAATGAGTATGGGGGGCTGGAGGGAGGAGAGGAGATATATTTGAGCAGAAGGCAAGTGAGTGGGTTTTATGGTTTGTTGCTGTTGGTGATAACACCATGAAGGGACAGAATGGATGACTACGGCCATGACTGGACTTCATGAGCAAACGAGAAGCTTCATGATTGTGCTTGTTGTGGCGTTGGGATTGGGATGAATGAATGACTGAGCAAGCAAATATGAGTGCTTGTTGGTGGCATGTGAATGACCAAGGACAAGAGACGAAAGGAAGTATCGTCATACTTCTTCAGCAAGCTCAATAACGGGACGAAACCTAGAGGAAAAGACCAGTTCATTCTCGCCTCTGCTGAGTAGAGAAATACACGGACTTCTAAATCATTAGGCAGCAAGCAAAGGGCGGGTATCAGTGTATGTCTTTCTAGACATCTGAGCCGCAAGTGCAGGAAGCGCCATGGACAAAACCAAAAAAAAACCATGAATGGCCTTATCACAAGTAAGTGACCGAACGTTCGCCGTGAATCATGCGCAGAGAACAAAAGGAGGTTGTGACAGCGAATGAGACCTGCGGAACAGGTCACCACATGTGCTTTTCGACCTCAGATTTCTTTTTCCCTTGTCAAGAAGGACAAAGGAGAAGGATGTGATCCATCTTTCCGTTCCATTGTGAACCAGAGAGACAATATTACGAGAGAAATTCGACGTCAGCAGAAGAAGGGTCCATGAACCAAACTGACCAGGATTCTCGGGCCGTCCCGAAAACTGAGATCCCCAACAAGACCCTGACCTGTGGGAATTGCATTTCCTGGTCCAGAAAGAGGACGGCGCGGACGAACCCGCCATCGGAATTCCAAGAAGATTACCTAGATGAGCCAAGGTCAAGACGGTGTGGTACTGAGATTGGGGTATTGTTTTGGGAAGCACAGCGAGCAAAGGTGTTATTCTACTTGTATGTTCCTGCACCAGCGAGCGAGCATCGGCGCTGTTGTCTTGATAGGATGTGGTGCTTGCCCGATTCGCAAACTGCCCGAACGGACCACCGTGCAGCGCAGCGGGACTCCAGATGGCGTACCTAACAGCATGTCTCTTTGCCCCTGGTTTTGAGCCATATCAGCTTCAGGTCAGCCAGAAAGACTAAAGTCAAAGATAATCTTCGCGATATGGACGACGAAGTGTCATTTCTCAAGTGTGCAAGTCTGCGACTTGTGATAGGGGGCGGCTGCCAAAATGGGCCAGAACAAAACAATCTTGGCACTGACCAGGGCGCTGCATTACATAAGCCTTTTTTTGCGAGACGGGAGTGAGGACCCACCTATGGCGCTAGGCTGTTTCTAGCTCGCGCGGCATGCTCAAAGTGCTTGTCGCGTTTTTGACTGCAGGCGATCGCAGGTGCGCCCACCCAAATTCACCACCCACTTTCACGGGCAACCACCACCTCGATAGCGTCCACTCCAACCAACAAATCTGTGTGACGTCCTTCAATTCGAAACCCTATTAGGAACCCGCTCTGAGGAAAGGTCAATAATCACCGCGCCTTGGATTGTCACGAGTCCTGAACCATTAGTTTGCTGTTACATCGACCAGCTTGCACTTGATCGCAAACAAGAGCAAGACATCCCTCGGAAACAAGCTCGAACGCAGCTTCGTCCAACCCGCATCTCAACGCCGCATTATCGTCCTCCCTCGCGTCCATTTGCGACTTCGACTTCGGGTTCGAGCATCAACAATTGGCAGCGCTACGAAATATCTACGAACTCAGCGATATATCACCAAGTGCTGGGCCTGCCTTCTTTTCCAACCAAGTTTTCCGACCGTCATGAGATTACCATAGTCGACGACAATCATACCGTTACTGCCACACGAACCACCCTTCACAATGGCGCGCTCCGAATCCCAACAATCCGTCTTCTCCTCTTATGCGCCGAGGTTACGCACCTACAACAACTCCCTCCTCACACCCGTTCTTCCCGGCACTGCTCCCGCGAACCCACTTTCGCGCACAACGAAGCGCGGCACTACCATCATCAACTATGCCGAGGATGGCTACGACGACTACGACGATGACGACGACAATACCCGCAGCCGCCGCCGCCCTACAGGCCTCCGCAGCGTACAGCCCGACGACGGTACTGTCAAGGCCGACCCGGCCGAGAAGGTTGGGAAGGATACACACGAGCCCGTAGAGGTACAAGGCATTTGGCGGGACTGGATGGGAAGATTTCGCCAGGGACGATCTGATCAACAAAACTTCGCCCAAGCCAGCCTACCTCTCACCCTGATTCCTATACGGATTGACCTCGATATCCCATCCTACACTCCGCCCCCGTCTCTCCCTCCGAATGCTGCGAACCTGGACCCCAACAGTCCTCTCTTCAAACCACAGGAGCCCACCGTCCCATACCGGTTACGCGACACGTTTCTGTGGAACTTGCACGAGACTTTGATAACCACTGACCAGTTTGCGACTGTCCTGGTCCAGGATTTGGACCTTCCTAACCGGAATCAGACCATAGCCGAGATCAGCAAGCAAATAAGGACACAACTAGAAGAGTACGCCGGTGTTGCTCTCCATCCTCTCTTCCACTCCCACCGCGACCGTCCAGCAACCGAGGCTCCCAAGCCCACCAACCTGCTCGAAGCCGCGACCTCAACCCCCAATACCCCAGCAGTCAACGGTAACGCCGTATCAACACCAACACCCGCCGCCAACGGCACTTCAGCAGTCCAAACATCCACCGGCGAAATCACGGCCGCCGCAACCCCGATCCCCCCAGACGCCGACGACTTTAGCCCCGACGACACCTACCGCTGCATCATCAACCTCAACATCAACCTCTCCTCGCAAGTCTACACCGACAAGTTCGAGTGGTCGCTCCTCCACCCTCCAGGCACCGCCGAGGCCTTCGCCAAGCAAACTTGCGCCGACCTGGGTCTGCACGGCGAATGGGTACCCGCCATGACGCACGCCATCTACGAGGCTGTGCTCAAGCTCAAGAAAGAAGCCTGCGAGTCCGGCGGCCTGGTAGCCGGTTGGGGCACCACCGCACTGGGAGTTGGCGGTGTCGAGTTCCCCAACGACACTGCCGTCACCGCGGGCGGCGAAGGTGCCGGCTGGCGATACGACCCGGAGCATCTGGCGGAGGATTGGGAGCCCAAGCTAGAGACGCTGTCGAAGGAGGAGATCGAGAAGCGCGAGGGCGATCGCGAGAGGCAGATCCGCAGACTGCGCAGAGAGACGGCCCGGTTCAGCAGCAATACCGGCATGGCGGGCGGCGTGCCCGTCGGATTTGGATTTGGTGGGCTGATTGAGCAGGAAGAGGAGCGCATGGGTCGCGGGGAGAGGAGCAAGAAGAAGAGAAGGTTTAGAAGCTTGTCGCCGACTAGTGGTAGGCACACCCCGGATGTTGGCGGCGGCGGCGGCGGCGGTGGTGGTGGGTATGGTGGTGGCGGAACGCTGGCGGATAATGAGCGGAACAACTGGAGGTGCTCTTGCTGTAGGGTGTGGGGCACCAGTGTGTGGGCGGTTCGGGATGGACCTTATGGACCGAGGGTGAGTGATCTGATCTACTATTTATGTCGAGTGCGAGCGATAATGCTAACGAACTTGCTTCACAGTCACTCTGCAATAACTGCGGCTTCATCTACGAGCGGGATAGGAAACTGCCGAGGTGGGCTAGGAACCTGCACGGAGCTGATCCCAAGCCTCTGTGAAAGAAGGATGTTCAAGGCTGGAAAAGTTTGGCCGAGGGGGGCAGGGTTTGTGGGTTGGCGTCTTGATTGGAGAAACGTCTGTCTCCTAGCTCGACTTCTCTTCCAAAAGACAATGTACTTTGCATTGAGACCATCGGTTTGATATCGTCGTCTTCAACTTCATTCAGGAGAGGGGTGTAGAAAAAGGAAGGAAATTCAAGCAGAGGGAACCGGCGTCATGGCAAGGCTAGGATAGGAGAAAGCAGTGTTACAGTTGGCACATTTGTTTGACTAAATACCTGTTTATGTTCCACTACCATGTTTTCTCCGTTTCTTGAAGCTCCCACGAGCTCCGTGCTGCTTTGATCGCGCGGATTGTGAAGAATGCAAGTCAACGAAGGCGGAAACTGACCAAATAATCATACCCCTTTCGAATGGAAGTCGTCACTCAATGCCTTCTCAATCACACAACCAACTACGACACGGATCTCCTTTCCTATCCGGTACGAGTGTTCTGTCTTCGATGGCTAGGAAACCATAGCACTGCAAGGTCAGTGTAAGGAGTTCCAGTCCAGTCCAGCCCACCAACCTCCATCAAAACGGCAAAACAAATGGATGGAAGGAAAATTTGTAAGAGAAAAATGAAAACCGTCATTGGCGATCAAAGAAACGCCTGTGGCCTAAGAAGGATGAGTTGTTCAAAAAAGCAAAAAGAATGGACAATACCGGATTCGAACCGGTGACCTTTCACAAGGCGCATTTGCACAATGCGAAGCGAAAATCATACCCCTAGACCAATTGCCCATCGTATGTTCTGTTGATAGGCTAGATGTTTTTAGTGCTTATGTTGCCCGCCTGGATAACCGCTCACCATCCCTTACTTACACCCACCGTATACGAACGGGAAGCCCAAGTCCAGTTCAGGCCTTCAGCTAGCTACAAAAGGGACAAATATAGAACTGACTTGCTGCTTGCATTAATCATCACGTCGAGTCGAGACATGCTCTCTGACGGCAACCAGATCTGCAGGTGCACCTGCAGTAGGTACCTTGATGGCAGATGCGGGGGTGATAGTGTCTCGGCAGTAACTTGCACCCGCAGTAACTGAAACCACCAATTCTTCACCGTAATTCGTCGAGAAGACGACGTATTTCGGTCAGTGCTCTTCGTACTTGCCTAACGCACCTCTAGCCCGTTCTCGTCCCGTCTGGCCCGCGGCTTAAAGAATCGATTCCGGAAGACTTATCATCGGAACAACAAACGAAATACCGAACCTAACACGACACCACTATCGTAAGCACACTACACTCTCCGGCGGAAAGGAGCGAAGGAAACGGACGATTCTTTATCAAACCGACACACGCCTCTCGTGGAACCACGCGACAACCGTTAGGTAAAGATCGATCGGATATTGCAAGCTGCAGTTACCGTTACGTGAATCCAACGTCACCTCATGCACACCGATCATCATCCTTTTTTTCCTTCCCGTTCCCCTCTGTTCCCGTCTCCAAGTGAGGACACCATCCATCCAACCAGCTGCTTTACCCCAGCTTGCCCTGATTTGCCGAGCCTGTTGATCGTCGGATCGATGAGAAAACCGGCCATCCCCACAAAAGTGAGATGGAAACGCCGGGGCCCACGGCTGGACTAGGTAGACTTCCAAATGTCAGGCTATCACCTTACTTGAGAAAATGTCAGATCAGACAGACAATCTCAAGATGGGTAGCGCGAACGAAAGGAAGAAGCGGAGAGTAAGCGAGCGGGGTATGGGGTATGGGGCAGCCGTCGGCGTTCGCGGTTTCTCCTCTATATGTGCATACCGTAACATCATCATTGTCACCTCATGTATCATTCCTGCCATGTGGCTTCGACGATGCTTTGAAGGGGAAGGGAGGAGCTCGATGGAAACGCGGAATTTCTCGGTAGGTTGTCCCGTCAGGTATCAAAATCAGCACCTCAAATATGAAGAGCCTTGTTAGTGCCAAGGGATGATATATTGCACTCTCTCCCACTCCTGGTTCCCTGACTCAAACACCTCCGCCTCAAACTATTTACACTTGCCATATTGGATCACCAGCAAGCAAGCATCAACCCCGGCCGGTGATCTCCCAAACAAACGACAAACAACATCTAACCCAGTCCATAACACCTGTCAAGGACTTGGCATCTTGAAACATCACCACCATGCAGCAGATCTGATCCGTTCATCCCATCGATTAGACGATTACATCATCGGTCGAGCACCCCCCTCCCGATCCTATCCTACAACAATCACCACCACCACGACGGCAAAACATCAACGACGCCTATCAGCAAAGTCACCAAAGCCAACCCTCACCACCACCCAAAAAATGCCGAAACAAGCCTCCTCAATAACCACCCTCCTCTCCTCCCTCTCCGCCCTAGCCGAAGCCAACCCCTCCCGGCCCGCCCGCGCTCCCCTCCGCATCCACTTCCCCGGCTCTCCCTCTCCCACCACCGTCTCCACCCCGGGAACCCCCCTCTCAAAGGACGCCGCCGCCCTCCCGCCCTCTTACTCCATCTCCGCCACCGCTCTCTCCAACATCACGCTTCCCAACTGCGACCTCAGTCCCGTCTCCAGTCACCACGATTCCTCCTCTGGCTCCTCTTCTGCGGGTGGTCATTCTAGGAGAGGATCAGAAGCCAGCAACGCGGCCGGCCAAATCCCTCATTACCTCGTCATCTGTCTCGATCTTGATCCTCCTTTTCCCAGTTTCCCCGTGCTAGCACCGATTTTGCATTGCTTGGAAGCGGACTTGAGGCTGGAGACGGAGGAGTTGGATGCTGATGAGGGGTATGTGTATTTGACTGCTGATGAGGTGGCGGGGGGGAGTGAGGGGATTAGGCACTCCAGGCAGGAGAGGAGGACGAAGCCGGTGGTGGGTTATATGGGGCCGAAACCGCCGGGGGTGAGTAGTCCACATCGGTATGTGTTTTTGTGTTGGGAGCAGCCGGGGGGTGTGGATGGGCAGAAGGTGAGGGAGGTTTTGGGGTTGGATGGTGGTGGGGAGGGAGAGGAGGAGGGGGAGGATGTGGGAATGACGAAGAGGGTGAGATTTGATCAGGAGGGCTTTGAGAAAAATTTGGGATTGGGGGAGGTGGTGGCGGGGAATTATTTTGTTTGTTGATGATGTACGATGGGTGGTGGTGTTGTTGGATGAGGATAATGGGAGCTGGAGGGTGATGGGGGGTGGGAGTGGATGGGAAAGTCTGCTGAAGGTGGGTACCAACTTATCCTTTTACTCTGGGAATTGCTGATCGTGGCTCAGGCTGGAAAGCAGCAAGATTTGGTTACAACACCCGAGATTGTACGAAAGACTGTAATAGTACTATGACTGTGTTTGTTCCCGTACTTTTGTGTTACAGAAGGGTTCATACGCACTTTTTTATACTAAGATCGTATAGAAATTCTCGCGTTTGTTTGCTTTTCGTATAAAAAGGCAATCTGCGACGCCCTTATATTAGCCTCGCATAGCCTTGGCCGGGTTAGGGTTATGTATGGCTAGAAAATCGTATAGATTTTTTATGTGCGTATGGAATCCCCAAAATGTACACATGCCCAAAAATGCGGTATGCGTGTACGCCCACCCCGATGCACCTCTCTGCAGCGCATTCGCTCAGCGCTCGAAGCCCTATAACTCCCAATAGGACCCCGTCGTCGCAAAAGTAAACGAACGAAGCAACAATAGACATCGCAGTATAAGGGGGATGCAGAAGGCTGTACGACGGATTTTACCATGTGGCCCGTGCCCGCCGTACGAGGATATACGACAGACCCTTCTTGTACGAAAAAGTACGGGAACAAACACAGTCTATATCTTCACAAGCACACGGTCCCGACTCAGAATTCGAACAAGCACACAGATACATCAGAACCTCTCTCAACTTTCACTACCTCGTTGATCACCTTCAAGGCACGAACATTCACCACTCCCACTTCTATCACCTCCCCTCCCCAAGACTCACTCAACCCTCCCAAACCTTCGGCCCCGGCGGCTCATACATCGTCGTCTGCCAACTAAAAATCATCCCCCTTCTCCCCAGCCCTTTACGCCCCCGGAAACGCCACCATCTCCGCCCTCCCCAAATTCCCCTCTCCTCCTCCATCTATTCCTCCCATAACCTCGACCTGCGCACAAGCCAAATAAAACTGCGGAAGCCACGAGTAAAAGCGAGACATCGTGAGCGAAAAGGTAGGAGATAATGACTCCCAAGACATATAACCCACAATAATTGTTTTGTAAAACCGTGGTTTACCGTTCCTTCCATGCGAGCTTCCCAGTCGGCTAATAAGGCAAAAAGCGGCATTCAAGTGTCATGGACTAATGGGTTCCATATATTCCAATGTTAACGGTCAAGGTTACAGTCATCTTCTCACTAAAGACACTTAGCGGCCGATGTCGTGATGGTGCTAAACAATGGTGAGATGCAAGAAGTACCCATCTTTTAGGCTTGGCTTGCTCCACTAACGCTTTCGTCAATAACCTAAACCTTATTCGTGTAGCTTATCCAAACAGATACCCTCACAAAAGTTCACGACACCAACGGCAACGACTCGCGCAGAACGGTCATGGCCCCCACACAACCGTCGCGTGGGGATCATCAACATTTCCACCCATTTTGACGAATTCTCTGTTGTTGGAACGAGGGAAAAGAAAACTCAGCAACCGTAACCGAGGGCGATGGGGGGCTACCGTCAAAGTTCTAGCCTCCCCCACTTTGCGTTGTATGTACGCAGTAGAGTCACACTGCGGTATGTAATGTGTATGCGAGGCGGCCGCCGTTATCGCCATGGAGTATAGAGATGGGGATGTGGGAGGTGTGGGAGGATACATAAAGCGGGCCAGGTCCCGGTGGTTTGGGTGTGATGAAAGACCGGATCTACCCTTTGGATCTTGTCCCATAAGCTTTGTTGCCCATAGGACAACCACTCGAAGGCAGACAAAATGTCCTCGACAGACAACAAGGAAAAGAACGTAGTCGAGCTCGGCCCCGTCTCGACGGGGTCAGACGCCGACGAGCAAATCAACCACAGCAAGCCAGTATCCAAGTTTACTCGGTGGTACCGCAGCCCTCTGTTCAACGTCATCATGGTCGGTCTCATCTCGTTCACCCAGCCCGGCATCTGGAATGCCCTCAACAGCACGGGCGCCGGCGGCGCGCAGGAGCCGTACCTGGTTAACGGGTCGAACTCTTTGACTTTTGGGTATGTCTCCTCTCTACCCCCTTCTCTCCCCCCACTCCTTACCCACATGCCCCCCCGAAAAAAAATGCTAACAAATTCCCACAGCATCATGGTCTTCGGCTGCTCCCTCTTCTCCATCCTCTCCAACAAGATCGGCATCAAATGGGTTCTCATCATCGGCACCCTCGGCTACGCGCCCTACTCCGCCTCGCTCTACGTTAACAACCGCTACGGAACCGAATGGTTCGTCCTCTTCGGCGGCGCCCTCTGCGGCATCGCCGCCTCGGCCCTGTGGGCCTCCGAGGGCGCCATCGCGCTCGGCTACGCCGACATCAAAGACCGCGGCAAGTTCACGGGCATCTGGCTCGGTCTGCGCGAGCTGGGCCAGCTGCTCGGCGCTTCGATTCAATTGAGTCTAAACGTGAAGAAGGAAGGCAGGGGCAAAGTAGGGTATACCACGTACCTGGTGCTGATCGCGCTGCAGTGTCTGGGTCTGCCGTTTGCGTTGCTGGTGTCTTCGCCGCAGAAGGTGATCAAGGCTGATGGGACGAGACTCGTCAAAGATCCGACCGGGCTGAATAAGACGGTCAAGGGCGAGTTTAACAAGATCTGGAGTCTGTTTAAGAGGAGGCAGATGTACCTGCTGATGCCCATCTTGATTGGGTTTCAGTGGAATAGCACGTATTTGGGCATTTATATGACCAAGTAGTACGTACTTATCCTCTCTTCGACTCGCTCGATCTTACCTGGGCCAAAACTAACACTTCCAAAGCTTCTCAGTCCGCTCCCGCACCCTCGGCTCCCTCGTCTCCGGCATCGTCGCCACAGCCGCCAACGTCTTCTGGGGCTGGTTCTACGACCGCCAATCCCTCTCGCGCCCGACCGTCGCCAGAATCACCTGGGCCTTCTTCGTGATTCTCATGCTGGGAACCTTCGGCTGGCAAACCGCCAACGAGAAGCTCTACGGCGACCTGAAAGCGGCCGGCACCCCCATCACGCTGGACTGGGCCAACCCAGGCTTCGGCCGCGGTTTCGCGTCCATGGTCATCTTGAGGTTCCTCAACGAAAGTCACTACATGTTTGTGTACTGGCTCATCGGCGCCTTTTTCGATGATCTCGAGACGTTGGGACTAGCGGTGGGTATTGTCAGGTCGTTTGAGTCCGTCGGCTCGTGCTTGGCGTTTGGTATTGGCGCGGCGCAGGTCGCGCCCATGGTGAATCTGATCATTGCGTTTGCCATGTTTGGGTTTACGATTCCGGCGACGTCGGCGGTGGTGTTTATGGTGCCGGAGAGGCCGGTGAATTTGCGGAAGTTGGAGGATGAGGACGGTGGTGGTAGCACTTCTACTACTACGTCTGAGGGAGAAGCAGTGGTCGTGGTCGTGGCCGCTGCCAAGGAGGCGAGCATTGAGGAGGGCTCTGTGGGCTCTGTGGCTGCTGCCCCTGGTTCTATTACGGATGGAAAGGAACGGGATGGAGTGCAGCCGCCGGTTTATTCGGAGCTGCAAGTAAAGTGAGGTGAAATTAAAGGGGGCCCGGAGAAAGGAAACAACGGGACGGAAAGATAGGAACATGGATGATACCCACCTCCAAATGGCCATTTTGGGACATTGGAGGTTATACATAGTAGTCGAGATTTACATATGGTTAATGATAATAAGATGAGCGTTATGGTGGCCCTTGTAATCGCCAAGGTAATCGCCAATCTCGATCTCGTGCTCTTGTGAACTGGTCGATCAGATGAAACAAATGTCGGGCAGCCATCCCCTACGACCGTTCATCCGAAAGTTTGTGAGAATAATTCGGAGATGCCTATATAGGCTTAGTGCTAGTGTCAAGTGGGTACCAATGTTCCAATTTGGCTTGGTGGCTGAGTGGCTCCTACCTTGGGTTCTCAACAGCAAGGTCATCCATTTGATTCCAGGTCGAGGGCAACTTTTGTCAGTTTGGAGGGTAAATCCAGCTAGTAAGAAGGGGGCTCTAAATAAGGACTAGCCTCCCAGCCACCCAGAATCTGGCTACAGACCTCCCTAATACTCTAGGAGCCCCCAACTCTAGTTCCACAGCACTCTTCTACATACACATAGATCAATACAGAGATTTACCCACATTTGATTCAACCGTGCATTCTAACAACTTTCGGGGTTTTTCCACAACGCCTTCTCTATGGGAGGGCTGTCTGGGCAAGTCCTGGGCACTCTCCCATGGTGAGTTCACCATAGCGTACCTACCTATAGCGAATATATTTATTTCCAGCGAATATTCTTACCCGTGCGTGTGAGGCTGGCTTTTGAAAGGGAAGGCTGGCCAGACTACACCCACTCTCTTGCAGAGAGTGGGCCACTAAATTCTGGAACACCACTTTAATATGGGATAGTGCAACTTGTATGGGAACAGCACCAAAAATGTATGGGAATCAAGTAGGAAAAGCTGTAGCACTACGACAATAAGAATCTGAAAGATGCAATTTGAATGAGAGCTTCGAGGAAGTTCAATAAAGATACTAGAATTTTGAGAGATTTTTCCGAAGTAAAGAAGTTGGTATAACATCGAAATCCTAGTCTCTTATAATAGTCGTGCTCCGATGTCAGCCCCTATCTGCTCCGCCGCTATACGTGGCGTAATTTCTTTATACCCTGTAGGTCCAAATAGTATAATATTAAGATTACATTTATATATAGTTTGAACAAAATCGGCTAATGTGTATAAGGAATGTTTAATTTCTGCGTAAATATTCGAGTATTAGACTATTATAAAAATTTTAAATTCAATAAAATAAAGTGTCCGAGGATAGATAGTACGCATTGTAAATCCATTTTTATATACTTTTTTTTGTATTTTTATTATAATTTTGTTGTTTGTTGATATTATAGGAGTAGGTTCTATTGTGCGCAAAATTGTATTTAAAAGGATCGTATATTCTATTTTTGTAATCTATTGTTGTATTAATACGGAAATTGGTATATATAATATACGACTATAGATTTAATATTAATAATATTACAGTATTTATTCGTTATATTATTAACTTTTATTAATTTAATACGTCCGGGCTTCCTAATTTGGCTTTCTAGGGTTGGATTAGCGAAGTATTGCGATATATAGTATTTAATAATAATAAAAATGTCCGATATAATTTCGTTGATATAGTCGTTATTTATTTATTGAATTAGGAGTTATTACTAGGCTAGGATTAACATTATCCGAAATTTAGTTAAGTAGAATTTATTTATTATATTATTTATTAACGAAGCAATACGATTTTTATTGCCCGTACCAGCTATAGAAAGAGTATTATTTTTTAAATTATATTTATTATCCTAATTAATAAGATTATTATTTAGATTATATTATTTGATCGGTTTGGCAAGAAATAGTATAATATTATTATTAAATCTCCGGGTATTCGGTTTATTTTAATTAATTAGTTAATTATAAAAGTATAGAATTTATATATATTACGTTTAAAACTAATAAGGGAATTAACCTTTTATTTTCTTATTAGGTTTGAAGGTTAATTCCTTTATTAGTTTTGAATGAATTTTAAGTAATCTTTTAGTGATATTTACGTTTCTAGGTAAATTTAGAATTTAGAAACTATATATATATTTTTGTCGGTTTAGAATAAATTATTTACGTAAAGTTTATAGAATTAATGCGTAATGTTTCGTTTAATTAGTGAATTGTTTTTATTATTATTAATAAATTATATATTATATTTTAATAGTGTACGTTTCGAAAATAATTTACGGATATTTATATTATTAGGATTAATATCCTATTTAGCATCCTTTAGTTTGGGTATATAGTTATTTTTATTTATAATATATAGTATTATATGTATAAGTATAGCGGTTTTTACTTAGAGGGTTGTAAGTTAAGTAAATTTATTATTATTCGTATTTCTATTAATTGTTTTAATATTGCGATAGTATTATAGTTAATTTTATAAGGCGCGTTTAAGGATTATTAACGGTTCGAAATCCTTTTCGGCGCGCTTATATTTAATATCTCCCCACTTAATATTTATTTTATTTTAAAAATTATTATTTATATTAATAGTAAGTTATTTCTTTTCTCCATCCGGGCGTATTTCTTATAATACTTTATATTTTTTAGTTGTAAATTATTGTAAGTAATAAGGGTAATTTATAAATATATGCCAATATTCGTCTTTAAGATTAGAGGGCTATATATAAGGATTTTAAGCGGTCGGATTTAATATATCGGATAATGTTCGCTACTATTTTATTTAGTATAGGTATATATATTTTAAATATCCAGTAGGTAATATAGTATAGCGTGGTTAAATTTGATAATATTGTAGATTTGGTTTAGTATTTTAAATACGCCGTTTATACGGATCCTATTATATATAGTACGGGGTATTATTTTATCCCTTATTATTAATTTAATTATTTAAGCTAATTATATAAATTTATTCAAATATAGACTATTATTTATTTTAAAAATGTTTTATTAAATTATTTTATTATGTCGGGGTTTGAAATTTAATATGTACCGCCCCCCCCTTCTATTATTATTATTTTATAATATACTGCGTTAAATTTCGTTTTAATTAATAAACTAGTATAATTACTTATTTCGGGGGATGAAGATATATTGAATAAAGGAGATATATTTAATAAGGAAGATATATAGAGCGATGAAGATATAAAAAGTAAAGAAGAGTTATTGGATAATCATAATATTATTATTGGTTAATTAATTTTATAGGAGTTAGGAATTATCAATAGTAATTAATAATTTCGTATTTAGAATAAAATAGAGAAATTAATTCGGGAAGAGATTATTAAAAAATATAAAGAGATATACGAATTTATTAACGTACTTTATTTTAAATAATATATTATAAGGCTATTATAAGAGTTTAGACTACTCTTTAAATTTAGGGATCCTTTTAATTATATAATAGATTTCGACATTGAACGCTTCGGTACTATTTTTACCGTATTATTTTATTTACAATATTATAATAAGTATTATACCCTTTTAAGTTTCCTATTACTTATATTGAAGAAATTTATAATTATTATTTAGCGCTTAATAAAATTGATAAGGGTTAGTTTCGCTTTGGACTAATTAGATCGTTTTATAATTACTATTACTAGAATCTTTTATTTTAATATATTAAAATTATTCCATTTACTAAAAGAAGTATTTATATTATTATTTTTCTTGAACATATTTATGTAACGGTTTGGGAAATAGGAATTTATATTTATAATAGAAGATTTTATTAAAGTTATTCCGGAATTTAAATTATAGAAGTAGTTAGAAGGGTATAGGGATATTTTAGTTATAGAGTACGTTTATATTATATTTATTTCGTTGAAAGTATTTATTATAAGTATAGAAATGATAGTTCGTAATAGTATAAATATAGAAAAGAGGAGATTAGTAAAGGCGGAATAAGTATAAATTTTAAAAATTGTTATTAGTAGCCCGTTTAGCGCTATAGGTTTAATTGTATGCGCGGTTCTTTCCGTTGATATATATATAAATATAGTTCTACCCACAAAAAGGGTAAAGATTAGTATAATTTTAATAAAATGGAAGAAGTAAATATATATACTTTATATACTTAGGGATTATTTAAACGAAATTTCTTAGTAAATTATTTAAAACCGATAAGGGAAGTTATTAGGAGGAAGCCCTATTATATTATAGAATAAATAAAGATTTTTATAAATAAGAATCATAAAAATGTTTTAAAAATTTTAGGCTATTTTAATTTTTATACTATAGATTATTTATAAATTTAAATATAAAAACCCCCCCTTATAACCTTTAGAATTCTTCTTTTTTTATTTCTTTTTATATTACATTATACTTTTTTAATTCCCTTATTAATTTTAGTACCGATTTGATAATTGTTTGCTCCCTTCTATTGACCCTTATTAATTTTAATATAAATTTAATAACTATTCGCTTCCTTTTATTTACCCCTATTAGTTTTAGAATCATTTTAATAAACTTTTAGTATTTCGCTACTTTAATGATTCCTATTGGTTTTAAGCTTAATTAATCAGTTCTACGGGGCCTTATTAAATAAAGGATCCTTTGTTATTTAAAAGTGAGACGATTTTACAATTTTGTATAATATTTGCAATATAATCCGTTAATTTAAATAAATGGGTCGAGAGAAGTCTAATAATATTAAACTAGTGAAAAACCTTTATTTAAATACGGATATTTAAGAAATTTTCTTCGACGGATAAAACTTAGGTACGCTATAATTATTATACTTTCTACCCTTAAAGTAGTTTAGGTTTCGGATAAATAAAGAAGATATAAAATAGGTATATATTATCCAATTTACTATATATCCTAATAATATCCTATTCTTTTTCCAATACCCTATTTATATTGGCGGTTATAATACAAAAGAGGTGCGGAATTTAGTCCTAGATATCTATATGGAATAGTAGTCGGAAAATAAAGATTTTTATAAATAGGTTATTATCATTATATAATTAATAAATTCCGATTATTATAAGAAATAAGTTAAGTAGAAGGGCAATAATATTACGTTATTAAAATAAACGATCGTAAAATAGATTTATAAGTCTTTAATTTTATTAAACGGTTATATAACGAGAATTTTA